TAAATTAGTAACAAGACGCGTATTTAATGAGAAGACGCGACGACGCGTTATGTACAGAGTATATAAAATAGTAAAAACCGCCTTAAATAGTTTATAGAGATCCTTCCTCTTAACTAAGACCGAGATATAAGGAGCATATACCCAATCGCAGCATACTAAATTTCTTGCCAATAAAGACAAGGGGCCCTAGTAAATAGTCTAAATCGTCTAACCTAATTTATCCATTTATTATTCTTCTATTAACGTGGTTGATAAGCGAGTTGATCAGACAAGTGAGTTGATCACTGCACTGTATAAGTCACGGGACCGGGAACCCGGCACCCCGGGAACCCGGCACCCCGCTTTCAGCCTCAACACCATAACTTTCATCAATTCAATTACCCAAAAAGTCGATATAATACCCTGATTTTCATCTGGTCTTAATCCAATATGCCTTCTTATACAGAAGAAGATATGCTTAAAGCAATTAACCTTGTTCAAAATGGCCAATCACAAGTCAAGGCTGCTAAAGAAGCTTCCGTACCCCGATCAAGCTTACAGGACCGACTTCAAGGCATTATGCCTAAAAAAGAGGCTCATACAGATCAACAGCGGCTCGGCCCGACCGTTGAAGCCGATCTCATCCAATTTTTAAGGCTTCAAGATACCCTTTGTACTCCATTAACTCATTTCCAAATCCGGCAACTTGTTATCCGTATTTTAAGCTTACAAGGCGATAACAAACCTCTCGGCAAGCATTGGGTTACCCGATTTCTCGCACGCTCTAAGCAAATCAAAACGCTTAAAGCAATTAGAGTTGAATATAAGCGTATTGAAGGTGCAAAAGCAATTATCATCCGGTCTTGGTTTGACCAATTGAAGGATCCCGAGGTTACAATTATCCGCGGCTGCAACCGTTGGAATATGGATGAAACGGGTATCTTCCAAGGGGTCGGTATCAACGGTTTAGTGGTTGGCCAATCAGAGAAGCGGAAGACCTTAAAACGAAGCCCTCACAGCCGCAGCTGGGTCACAATAACGGAAGCTATCTGTGCCGACGGCACGAGCCTTATTCCCTTTGTTATCTTTAAAGGGGATCAGCCGCAACAACAGTGGTTTCCGAGGGATCCTTCCTTTTTAGGCAATTGGCGCTTTGCAACGTCACCAAGGGGATGGACCACTAACGAGATCACAGCCCTATGGCTGCAGGAGGTTTTCATCCCGTTCGCATTGCCCAAAAAGGAAGGGGAAAAGAGGCTTCTTTTCCTAGATGGGCATGATACCCATTTAACGGATGAATTCATCTTTAACTGCTTTAAGCATAATATACACCCCTGTTACCTTCCCCCACATACATCACATGTCCTTCAGCCTCTTGATTTAGCTAATTTTAGCTTGTTAAAGATGATATATCGCCGTGAACTCGAGATGGAAGCCCCACTCATTGAACAAGGAAATACAGCTAAGGCTGCCTTTTTAAGGTGTTATTTTAAGGCTCGGGCCGCTGCCTTTACCGAAGAGAAGGTCCGGGCCGGTTGGCTTGCATCCGGCTTGTGGCCTGTCAACGTTATGAGACCGTTATCAAGCAAGTATGTGATACCGGACGAAATTGAGGCTCAAGCTGCTGAATTAGGTAATCCATCTACACCACTAGCCAATACGAGCCCTCAATTACCTTATCTCAATACACCACATAAGCTATCTGATGTGATGCAGCTTGCAAGAGCCGAATTAGGCAATAATGCACTTACACCAACTAAACGGCACCTATTTCGGACGATTGGAAAGGGCCTTGATGAACGGGCCGTTGAATTAGCTTTGGTAACAGATAAAAATAGGATATTAAGCGAGATGATCGACCAATCACAGGTCTTAAAGAGAAAGAAACTTAAATTGGATCCAAATCAGAAGGTATTTACCTTAAAGGAAGTCTATAAAACAAGAGATACTATTATAGTTAAAACAGGAAAGGAATAAGCTTATTTTATCTATTATTAAATAGATATAAGCTTCTTTTACTAGTAGGAAAAAACTGGATGAAAATTAAGCTTATTTTTATTGATTTTTATATAGATAAAGATATTGAAGTTATGGTGTTGAGGCTGAAAGTGGGGTGCCGGGTTCCCGGGGTGCCGGGTTCCCGGTCCCGTGACTTACTTAAAAATAGCCTACCCTATAGTATCTAGCTACCTTAAATAAAATAGTTAAAAATATAGAAAAAATATTCTTAAGAATAGTATATTAACTTAAGCTATATAAAAATTTTCCAGATTTTTAACTATTTTATTTTGTATTAAAAAGCCTATTTATACAGTGTAGATAAGCTTTATAAATACTACAATATAAGAAATTAGCTAGAATTATTTTTTAAATATATAGCTTTTTTATATAGTTAAATATATAACTTTTAAATTTTAGCTATTTTAGGCTTAGCTTGAACTTTATATAGGCTTTTAAAAATTAGCTTTTAAGGTGTAGGTTAAGCTGATCAACTCACTTGTCTGATCAACTCGCTTATCAATCACGTTATATTAACTTCTAGTGTATAAGTTATGCAGATATATAAGCCTCCCTAATAAGGTTAACACACACCTCAGGATAAAATATAACGATATTGGTTTGGAGTGTTAATGTAGGTTAGTAGAGTAGGTAAAAGCAATCCCAAACCTAGTCCTCCAGTCCGGCTGTTGTTCTGGCTGAACAACACTTGGGGTTAGCGAAATTGTATGGGGGTCGCGGGTGGTGCACGGGCCATTCCTCCAGGACAACAATCCCCCAGAACAACAGCGATCATTGGGCCTAAAAAAAATAACGAACCCCAGAAACCCCAACCCCAAGTCGACAGGGGATTAACACCGAATACCAATAACATGCAACAGAAATAACCCCAGAAAGCAGCCCCGCAATCAATACCATACCTAGCCAGCCATGCAGGTAAATAATAATTTAGAATAGAGTTCATATATTGCTATAGCAATAACAAAAGCAAGTTCATATATATTTATATTAACAGAACTCATAGCAAATAACATAATAACAGCATTATTATTCAGACTTGACAATTATTGTTTGCGTCGGTTGCCTAATCAAGAATGTAGACCAGAAATGCGGCGCATTTCCACCTCTGCACCAATCAGCATCTGGATATCCTTGCCCTGAATCTTCGCTCTAGAAACGCGCCGCACTTCAATCTAGATCCAGAAAACAGGAACGCGAAACGCGCCGCGCTTCTCCCGCGAGTGGCCGTGCCCACCTTGTAGACGTCGGCGTTTAAAGGGAAGGAACAGTAAGTCCTCGTTCTTCTTAAGCGTTACTTCGCAGATCAATCTATCCACTTAGTGTCTCTATAGCTTTATTAACATGGCCGACCCTACTTTTCCATTCTTAATTATCGTGTACCCCTAAATTGTCGCCTACCCCCTGTTCATTTTCACGTATGCATCTCTCGACCGATTTCCATGCATCGATTTCCATAGCGACTACAATCGATACTCTCTGCCTTACCGACGCGTCTGAACGCGTGCCATATAAAGGCTCTCACGCTGCTCAAAACCAACGATCAGGGCATGCTAGTTAGTCAATCTGATTGCAACAAGCAACAGTGAGTGCGCCACTTTTGTGCTGGAGCCCCTGCAGGTTGGGCTTCAGCCCTCGTATTCGGCCATTAAATAAAGAGGCTATGGTGTTGGCATCGACGCCTATCGCCAATCACGTGTGGAAGATGCTCAGCTTGCGGTAGCACTACGAGAAGTGGCGTCTAATTTACGCCACCCCCTCAACCATGCAGCCTGGTGAAAGCCTGCTCTTCTGCCATTGAAAATTTCTGCGACTTTGTCTCTGGTTCATTTTTGACATTTTTGCATCTAGCGTCTCCGGCTTTAGAACTATTGCTTATCATATGATCGATCAGTTTACCTTAATCAGTCAGTACCTTGCTTTCTCCCGGCATCATATCGCAAATCATGGCGAACCTCCAGGACTACACATTTGGCTGGATCTGCGCCCTACCCACCGAGTTTGTCGCTGCCCAGGCTTTCCTCGACGAAGAGCACGAGGGCCCTACTGTACCAATTACCCCCGTATCAGGTCTTGATACACGAAATCGTGTGCCGTGCACGCAACGTACCCCTATCACGGCAGATCAGATGGTTTAATAACAGTAATTTCCGCCTAGTTATATTTGGTTTATCTCCTTTCGAATCTTCTTTCTTACCACTTTCCGATTAAGCAATAAAGTTCTAAATAAAGACGGCTGATGATAATATCTTTTCCCGCCTCCAGCTCTTAATCGATCCAAGGTAATCATTCGCAGGCGATTTGAGTCAAATCCTCCACCAAAATGGGCGTGCGGGCCAAGGCGTTAGGCCATGTATGACCTCAGCGTGATTCTGCAAGTGCATCTTGTGAGAGTATTCTTCGTCTGACCAGCTCACATACCGCGAAATACCATGCTTAAAAATTGCATATGAGTATTGTGACGTACTCGGGATGACTCGAGTCGCGGTAAATGGGCGGTGGCTGATGCGGCTGTGTTGTGCTTTTGTCTGCCGAACTTGGGCCAATCTACCCCTCACGCGTGCAATCCGGCTTCCTGTCTGTTCCCTCTCCTCTCCTCCTCGTCTTTCTTGATTGCTTTGACAGAAGATCGTTGACGGTTGACTCACTCATCAGCGATTCCCGGTGACCAGGTCCCTCAAAGGACCGCTGAACCGCCTACCATGTCTACACTACTGGAAAGGATTGTGCCGCTAAAGCCCGAGATCCGCCTCGCGCAAGCGATCAAACAGTTCGAAATGGACCTCTCTGACAAGCAAAAGGCCGCCTTCGACTCAAATACGCGCCAATCATGTCACTCCCCTCCGAATATCCATGATGTTATGCGGCTGACGGCCGAAATCGACCATCGTATTGCAGGAAATGTCGGCGGCGGCCGTTGTTTCGGAACCCGTCTCGTCAACGTCTTGGAAGCTGTCCAGCGATTTGCAGCCCTTGGGGACATCGTGGTGGGCGGATCCCAGAACATGATTGCATGCGGCGTCTGGTCGTTGGTGAGGATGACATTGCTTGTTGGTTCTCCACACGACGAATGTATTCCTGACTAATGGCTCACGTAGATGCTTGTGAACGTCTCTTCCTGGTTTGACAAACTGTCAGAACTTTTCGTGGCCGTCGGCCGATCGGCACCTCGTTACCAGGCCATGGCCTTACTCTATCCACGATCCAAGAAGCTGCAATCACACCTCTCTGAATACTTCCTGGTAGTTGTCCGCATCTGCCATGATTTGCTGAAGCTGACGCGAAAATCGATGTTCGCACAGCTAGTCTCTTTCATGACGGAATCCGACATGAGCAGTAATCAGGCGGAGTTTGATCTATGGGCGAATGCGATCAAGGAGGAGGTGAACTTGCTGATGGCACAACAACTTCAAGAGCAAAGCCGCCGCCTTATATCGCTTCATGAATCGGAATCACATCGCAAGAAACTCGAGAACCGTCTCCGCATCCTTGATTCTTGCTCAACATACGACTATCAAACGACGTGGAAGGAAATCCGTAGATGCGGAAACACTAGCTGGTTCACCTTGCAGCGTGAATACCAAGATTGGAAATTTAGAAGCGAGTCTTGTACACTCTTATATTCAGGGAAGCTCGGATATGGAAAGTCTATCTCACTAGCCAACATGGTTGATGACCTAAACCTCCATCGACAAGGCAGTCTAGTCACTTATTCTTTTTGCCGGCACGACGCTCCCGAAAGCCTGCGAGCACACACAATCCTGGGCGCTCTGGCCCGGCAGTTGCTATGCACGATTGAAGAGCCCACCGCGATGCCAGAAGATTCCACCGTTACGGGTCCTCCGTTCCTCGATTATGAAGGAATACTCCACTTGCTAAAACGTACCCTTAACCCTAGTTGCAGAGCTTACTTTATCCTAGATGGACTAGATGAATGCGATGACAATCAGAAAGAAGATGTAATCTCCCGCTTGCGGGAGATTCAGACTGTATGTTCACTCCTAGTTTGTCTATCATTCAGACAAGAGGCTAGCAATGTACTAGCACTGCGCCTTGAAAATTTTGCGAATCGGAGCATGATTTCTATTCCGGAGAACAACCCCGATATCGCAGAGTTCATACAAACAGAATTAGAAAGGCAAGTCGACTTCGGGAGGCTAAGGGTAGGGGAACCGACTCTTGTTCTAGAGATTCGAGATGCCCTATTAGAAAGGGCTCAGGGCATGTTTCTCTGGGTGGTTCTTCAAATCAACTCTCTCTGCCTAGCAAAGACAGACGAATCTATTCGTCACGCTTTAGCCGACCTCCCAAGGGATCTTCCAAGCACCTTCTCTCGCATTTTAGAACAATCGGCGGCATTGGGAAAGAAGGACCAGAGGCGGATTCTTGAACTTATTACTGCGGCTTATCGTCCCCTGGCAACCGACGAATTACGAGAAGCCCTGAGTGTGGTTCCAGGAGACCCTGACTGGAATCCGGCACGGATGCCCAACGACATCTATGCAGCATTAGCCTGTTGCGGAAGCCTGGTGGTCGTGGACGAAGAGACCCTATCGGTAAAACTGATACACCATAGCGTCAAGCAATTCTTGCTCAGTGGGCCAAAGGGCATGGTCGGCCAAACATTCACTATCCAGGATGCAAACAAAACCATGGCTGGTGTCGTTATGACATACTTGGACTATGGTATTTTTGACACCCAGCTTTCCAACGGAGTGATTCCACTGGTCCAGCATGGATCAGTCCCGATGAAGGTTGTTAGCTCCGTTTTGGACTCATCGAGCATCCAAAAGGTCGCACTAAGACTTCTGAAGTCTCAAAAGCCGTCAAGCATTGACGTCAGCAAAGTTCTAGCGAGGGAGGCCAAACGCTCCAAGATGCAACCTTCCAATCAATATTCCTTCCTCCTTTACGCTAGGTTATATTGGACACAGCACATTTTGTGTGATCCGGAGCAAGATCTGGCGACTTACAAATCTCTATGTCGAGCTCTAGATCGGAATGTGCTTGTCGTAGATGTGAGGGATGCCGATGGTCGGACGCCGCTATCTTGGGCTGCTGAGAGAGGACATGAGGCTGTGGTGCGTCTGCTGCTCGAGAAGGGTGCCGCTATTGACTCAGAGGATAGATTTGGTCGGACGCCGCTAGAGTTCGCTGCTGAGAGACGACATGAGGCCATGGTGCGACTGTTGGAATCGTATGGTGCTCAGTCTCACACCAATCTGGCGACGATGTCTAGTAGACCTCATTGAACATTCTCACCAAAACCGCAAATACGCAAATGAAGATAGGGGTAACGTATATGATGAGCGAGTGCACCAAAAATCTCCCAATCTCTCCTATCCAAGCTGCGTGGCGGATACAGGTCTGAATCCAATGGAAAACACATATAAAATAAAACCACGCTAATGAAAACAGGGACCTGAATCCATTGCCCCCAACGGATTCAGGTCGATATTATTAAAAGTTGGAAAAAATGACTTTTAAGACAATGCATCAATTTACAGTTATCAGGACATATCCCATTTTAAATTTTAGCCATAGAAACCAAGTATTGCGATATTGCGATCAGTTTGAAATTCGGCTGATGGCATTCATCGTGGTTGAAAGTGGATAGCAATTGGCGAATCATTTACCCCAAGTTGGTCCGTGCATTCCATTATGCCCGGGTGGCGGTCAATAGGCGGACGGGTACCAGTCCTTCTAAAATGGGACGGGTCCCGTCCCAATTACCATATCTGGTATAGCTCACTCCGCTATCGGTCTCCCTCTCGCGCCATCTCGAATGTCGCGTTCTACTGCACTCGCCGCTAATCGTGTCGAGACTACGGGCTTACGACGACTGTTTCGCTATGAACGTCAACCAATCTCAAAGTCCGACACCGTTTCCTGGTGACTGTCTCCCTCCTGAAGGCGAGTATGAGTCACGGGAGGCGCTATTCGAGGCAATCAACGCCTGGGCAGCGACCAGGGGCTATGCGTTCATAACTGGAAGGTCAACCAAGGAGAAAACTGGCAGGAGGACGATCACGTACATGTGTGATCGTCGCCGTAACCATCCAATCGTTTCCAGAGAACGCCAACGTAAGACGACAACTCGAACAACAGGCTGCGAGTTCTCTGTACTGGCGAAGGAAAATAATGATAGAAGTACCTGGACTCTGCGGCACCGTTCTGACAGCCGATTCTCACTACATAACCATGAACCAAGCCAAGACACCACCGCCCACCCGGTACTTCGAACACTGTCGAAGGAGCACCTGTCTCAACTGACTGGCCTTGCCAACGCTGGGATAGCCCCTAAAGAAATTAGAACGTACATGCGGCAGAACACCGACACGATAGCAACACAACAGGACATCTACAATCGTATTGCAGATGCTAGACGAGAAGTGTGTCAAGGACAAAGCAGCATTAACGCATTTGCTGATCAGCTGTTTAGAGAAGGATTTTGAAGTCAATTTCAAACCGGTCCAGACGGTCGAGTCAAAGCTGTTCTATTTGCGCATCCCGAGTCAGTGGCATACCTGCAGGCATATCCGGATGTCTTAATCTTAGACTGTACATATAAAACCAACAAATACGGCATGCCACTTTTGGACTTGATCGGTGTCGACTCTTGTCAACGTTCGTTCTGTGTCGCGTTCGCTTTCCTGAGTGGGGAATGTGAAGAAGACTATTTTTGGGCGTTAGATCGATTCCGATCGTTGTGCGAAAACCAAAGGATTAGGCATCCCTGTGTCATCTTGACTGATCGTTGCCTAGCATGTATGAATGCTGTCGATACTTGCTTCCCATCATCAAGGCCGCTGCTATGCCTCTGGCATGCTAACAAGGCAGTTCTTCGCTACTGTCAGCCGAGATTTACGCGCCAGACTCAAGGGGACAACCCGGGAATAGAGGCTTGGAATGAGTTTTACGGCCATTGGCATTCGATCATCAAGTCACCGAATGAACAAACTTTCCACGAACGTGTGTTCGAGTTTGAGAAGAAATATCTCCCGGATGATATCGAAGAAGTCAGATATATCAAGACAAACTGGCTTGACCAATACAAAGAGAAGCTGGTGAAGGCGTGGGTCAATCAACACCCCCACTTTGACAACGTCGTTACTTCAAGGGTTGAAGGCATACACTGGCTGCTTAAGAGCCACCTCAAAGTATCTACATTGGACTTGTTCGAAGCTTGGCGATCGATCAAGCATGCACTACTGAATCAAATGGCGGAGCTGAAGTCGAACCAAGCCAAGCAGAAGATCAGGACCCCTATTGAACTCTCCAGTACCCTCTATGGTGCAGTACGTGGTTGGGTGTCTCATGAAGCTTTGCGAAAGGTTGAGCAGCAACGAAAGCTTTTATTGCATGAAGACTCTGCTCCCCTGTCAGCCTGTACTGGTTCTTTCTCACGATCACAAGGGCTACCCTGCGCTCACAAGCTGAAGGGTTTATTAGTTCGAGACCAGGCACTACAACTCGAAGATTTCCATCCGCACTGGCACTTGACTCGGAAAGATAATCGGCGACCCCTCTTAGAACCCCGCCAGCGAGTCGATCCAGGGGCTGCGAGTTCGTCTTTGCCGTTATCTAGTGTGAGAAGAGAACTTAGTGGCTTCGAAGTCATCGAAAACGCGAGGCCGATACGAAACCCTCCTTTGTGCAGCAAATGTCATATACTAGGTCACGCAAGGAACTCTAAGGAGTGTCCACTACGATACTCAGAACTAAGAGCATTGCCAGTCGTATCTTCAGACCAGCCGCAGACGTGTTCGGAAGATTTTCAATGGATACCCTTTGCGGTCCCGGAGGAGCCAAGGCCACCAGCGATGGAAACGCTCGACAAAATACAGTGGCAACCAATCACGACTTTGGAAAATTTCGAGTTTGAGCCTGAATTAACTTGTCAAGATCTGCCATGCCAGTTGACCATCGAAACAGAGCAGGTGGACCGACACATAACGACTCCAGAACCTCGGCATCTATCACCTGCACCATCTGTGTATACACCGCCGGTGTCACCACAGTCAAATTCGGGAGATCTAGCTTCAAACCCAACTACACATCTGAGGTATGACGATCCACGAGCCATCCATCAGAGATACGTCAAGTCTAGAGAGGACTGGTATAAGGCTCAACCCCCAGGAGCCTGGCTTGGTAACCGCCAGTATCGAAAAGCAATGGGCTTGCCTTTGGGATACCCAAAAGCAAGCTACAGCTGGTGTCTTGATTATAAGCAGATGGGGAGGTGCTGTAAAACCTCGACGGGTCTGAGAGAGTGGACTAAAGAGGAGATGATGGCTTACTTAGACTGGGACAAAGCAGAGGCGGATCGCATCGAAGCACAAGTAGCTGAGGAGACCGAGAACGGACGACTTTTTACAAGCAGAAGAGGTATGGGCGAGCTCTGGAAGATGGCTCAGCGGGATATCGATGAACAAGAAGCCTTGTATGCTACCACGGAACAGGAAGAGAGTTGTATTGTAGTTCAGCCCTAACTCTAGTAGAGTTTACAAAGAGTTCATAGTTTGGGATACATCAAGGCTATACAAGTTAAAGTTAGCTATTTGCTACGAACAAAAAACTAGCAGGTTGATGAGACTTCAAGTAAAAACCATTCGAAATAGTTGCAATCCGATAGCGGACTGAGCTATACCAGATATGGCAATTGGGACGGGACCCGTCCGCCTATTAGCCGCCATAAAAGACATAATACGTGCACGGACCCAATGCGGGTAACCCAGTGACGTGCACAGACCAAGTTCGGTACTTTTTGTTGTAATTCATCGAATTACCACCACGACTGCGTACAGTAGTAGTAGGACTTGATAATCGATGGTCGTGATGTGGGAATGAGGAAAGATAAAGTGGTGGGCGGTCTAAGAGCGACGCGTTGAAAACACGGATTCAAACGAGGCAACTACCGCGACGCGACGAAGAAGCCAATCAAAAGCAGCAATGCACGGCAGCATAAATTGATTACGTGTCCTCAAGCCCTGAAAAGAGGGGTCAGGGTGAGCGAGCTCCGGCAGAGCTCACCCGGCTCCGCCAGATTGCAAAATACGCATCTTCACCTTAATAATTACGCTTTCATACTTGGTTCAGCCATAAGCACTATCTCCAGCCACTCTTCATCAAATTAAATTCCATACTTCGGAGTTTCCGTATAACAATGCATCAAATTTCGTGTTTGTGCGGGATCATCTCTCAGCAAGTGACCTCACAGGCGCCAAGAAGCAACAACACCATAGATCTATCTCTATGTCACTGCGATACATGCCGTCATGCGACTGGCTTGCTTTGTACATCCTATCTTCCCGTCGAAAAGCCCAATCTCACTCATAGCTTGGGCGTTTTCAATGTGTCGGACGGTTCGTCTAGGTATTTCTGCTCCACATGCGGATGCCAGATATATCAATCACGCAGAGGCGACAATGGCGAGTTGAGCTGGGAAGTGGCTACCGGCGTTATCTCGAGTAGTGAGGATACGAGTGAGAGAGTGAGATACACAGCACATACTCATGTCGCTGACACCATCGATGGCGGCGCTTCGATATGGCTTCCTCTCGACGGGCAACAGAGCTCCCCACATTCAGACTCTCCTAAACCGCAAACAACTTCTGTTGATGCATGTTGCGCCTGTGGAGACATCAAGCTTCGCATTACACGCCCTAATGAGGCCAGTTATTTACCGCGGCGCAACTACACTGACCTCATGCATCCTTACAGCTCCACTGATGAGTCCATCACAACGAACCCATCGGACGAAAAGTGGTGGATTCAAGGAGATAAATATCTCGCCGGGACATGCGCTTGCAAATCTTGTCGTCTAATTTCTGGCTTCGAAATACAGACCTGGGCCTTCGTGCCCCGTGCCAACATCTCTATCTTTATTCCCGGCGATTCTGAACTGAAAGCCCTGGACTTTAAAAGTCTACCAGCCGGTGTTTTGAAGAGCTATCAATCTTCGGGTAGAGCAGTTCGTGATTTCTGCGGAGGGTGTGGTGCAACTGTGTTTTGGCGTGATGTCTCTGATCCAAGTGTGATTGATGTGAGTGTAGGGTTACTGAGGGCTGAGGAGGGAGCGAGGGCAGAGAGTTGGTTGTGTTGGTGGACGGGTCGTGTAAGTTTCTCGGAAGAGGTTCAGACTGGTCGTTCTGGTCCGTTCGCTGCTGCTGCTCAGACTTTGATAGACAAGCTATCAATAGGGATGAAAGCAGGTGGTACCAGCTCATGAGTTATAAGATAGGCCTTAACTGATATAATGCACACTCATAGTATATCCTATATATAAACACGGTTTATTATCTCTGAAAACATACACGTTTATAACGCTTTTTAAGGGGACTTAATAAATTTTTTACTATATTTCCTTATCAGGCTACATAATAATATTTAAGCTCACGTAGATGATAAGCGGGTGTTACAGATAAGCGAGTGTTACAAAAATCCCTCATACACCTCACTTTCTATCTGATCAACTAATTCTCAACCACCCAATATGCCACAATTAAATGAAGAGGCTAGAATTCTTCTTGCTCTTCAGGCGCTCCAAAATAACCCTAAATTAAAGCTCCGACGAGCTGCAGAGATATATGAAGTTGGTCCTATGAAGCAATGGCGCCGACGCAAAGGCATACTCTCTATACATGATACTATCCCAAAGTCGCGGAAACTATCTGATCTAGAGGAAAAGATCATAGCTCAGTATATTCTCGACCTCGATTCGCGAGGATTCCCTCCCCGGCATCGTGATGTTGAAGAAATGGCCAATCGACTGCTTGCTGATCGCGACGCATCACCAGTTGACAAGCGCTGGGCTATCAATTTCGTCAAGCGGCAACCAGACCTCAAGACGCGTTTTCAGCGGAGATATGACTATCAAAGGGCTAGATGTGAAGATCTGACTATTATTCGCAATTGGTTCAGGCTCGTACAGAATATAATCGCGAAGTATGGTATCCGATCAGATGATATCTATAACTTTGATGAGACTGGCTTTATGATGGGCATCATTATGGCCGGGATGGTCGTCACAGGCTCAGAAAGGCAGGGTAGACCAAAATCAGTGCAGCCTGGAAACCGGGAATGGATTACTGTAATCCAGGCGATTAATGCGGAAGGTCAAGCGATCCCGCCGTTTATCATTGGTGCAGGCCAATATCACCTTGCTAATTGGTACCGAGAATGTAACCTCCAGGGCAATTGGGTCGTTGCAACGAGCCCAAATGGCTGGACAAATAACAAGCTGGGTCTCGAGTGGCTAAAGTACTTTGATCGTTCTACAGCTAACCGATCAACTGGTCCCTATCGTCTTCTGATCCTTGATGGTCACGAAAGCCACCACTCTGCCGATTTTGAGAGATATTGCAAGGACAACAAGATCATCACGCTCTGTATGCCGGCTCATGCATCTCATCTACTGCAGCCTCTTGATGTCGGGTGCTTTGGGCCGCTAAAAAAGGCATATGGTCAAGAAATAGAGTATCTAATCAGATGCTCTATAACTCACATTTCTAAGACCGAGTTCTTTCCGGCCTTTTATGCCGCTTTTCAAGCTACTATAACAGAAAGTAATATCCGGGGAGGTTTTAAAGGAGCCGGGCTTGCTCCTTTTAATCCAGAAAATGTAATCTTAAAGCTTGATGTGCAGCTACGGACTCCAACGCCTCCTCAGGAGGCTGCTGAACCTTCGACCGTATGGGTTTCAAAGACCCCAAAGACAGCAATTGAGGCCCAATCTCAATCTGAATACCTTGAAAGACGAATTAGAAGGCATAAAAGCAGCTCCCTAGAGCCAATTATTAAAGCTGTAAAGTGTTTTGAGAAAGGAACAAGCATAGTTATACATAAGTTAGCCTTAGTAGAGGCTAGGCTTAAACATCTTGAACAACAGAATGAGATAGTAGGTCGGCGCCGAAGGGCAAAAAGGACTAGGCTGCAGAAAGGAGGGGTAATAACAGTTGAAGAAGCATCGCAAGTAATTGATCAGATGGATGTTGATACGCAGGTAGTGGCCGAATCGTCAAGAGGTAGTGGTCAAGGAAGGTCGGTGCGACCGGGCAATCGACGTTGTGGTGTATGCGGCAAGGTCGGGCACAATGCAAGGACCTGTCAGGTAGTTATAGAGACGTCTGGGGAAGAGTATAGCGAGTAGTTTTAATTAATTAGATCGTTTGTGGTAGTTTTATTGGGATTTAAGACTGAGAGGTTAAGATTTTTGGTTAACTCGCTTGTCTGGTTAATTCGCTTATCAACCATGTTATATAGTTAGGAACTTTTATGCTAAGCAGGCTTAGGGACCCACAGGGCGTTACGAATTTTATACGTTTCTATGGTATTTATAGCGCAACTTTTGTTCCTGTCACTTAGTGATATCTTTAGGGGTTTAAGATTTCCGAGAGCTGTGCCCTCTGTGAGTTCTACACGTCCCCTGAATGCGTGGCTTTAACGCACTGTTCGCGTCGAAGTCCGTAATCAAACTCAGATTATATTACATGTTATAAGGCTCTCAGCTATTGTATCAAACTCACATAAGTGTTGAACAGGTGCTGGGGTCTCACGTGCAAGCAGGGATACTTTAAGATTACAACCGAAATGGTAAAACCTCTAAGGGGCAGAATTCAACACAACACAACATGAATATACCAATCTGGATCAATGGACCGAATACACGTAATGTCTGACAATAAGTCGTACAGGGTTAGGGATTTAGCACCAATCAGACCATTAAGCGCCCCCTGTGTTACAGAAAGTGGAGCCGCGGCAGTTTCACTACGTATCCTCTTTCAAGTGAAAGAGGAAAACAGGGGTAATGGCCCAATCAAGACGCGTAAAAGTCCTTTTTCACTTGAATCTGGAGCTGGAATAATGATGTAGAGAATCTAGCAGAACTCGCAGATCAGGGACGCAGGACAACTGGCCCGTATTCCCAGTTGCCAATCGAATGCAAATAAAAGACCGCGAAGGTGGCCATATTTGAGCAGCTGGAGGGCACGAACCATCAATTCGTGTATCCGGCCCTGATACGGGGGGTAATTGGTACAGTAGGCTTGAAAATGCTAGCTATCTCGGCCGTAAGTGGCTTAGAGTCCTACCTACCGAAAAATCCACTATCTATTATCGACTCCGAGATCACTAAAGCCCTACCAGGCCGACTATTTTACTCAATGAAGCCCGCTAGCCTATTTTTTTTTAGCTCTTATGGAGCTATAGCCGCCTTTGGTCACGAAGATACCTATGGCGGCGCTAATAGAAGGTGAATTGCAAGGCATGACGCTACAACAGGAGCATTCTTTAAGCCCTCTTAGTAGCCACCTCAGCTCGACAAGGGCAATGTACAATACAGCTGGCAAAGTGCATGACTGCTTTAGCGTTGTCACAGGTTTGCGTTTTAGGCAGCAATGGTTTAATAACATTTGAGTAATGTGAGTTGAGAAAATGCCGCATCTAGTAAGGACTAAGCGATCCCTGCGGAGCGGGCCTGTCTACCCAACGACCACTTAATGCTGACATGGTTTGCTGTGTAAAGCGTGTCACCTCACAACTGAGGAAACATACGACAGCCAATGATTGCCCTTTCGTTCCCCCTCATTGCCATGCTGTAGTTCTCCTCTCGCACCACTGTGACTCGCCGAGGGCTTTTGAGTTGCTCGCTTGCACTTGTTAGTCTGTCACAAGTGCCACTGAACGCCCGATGGCCCTGTGCTTCCATCGCTGCGTGGTCAGCTGCCTGCCACAAGCCCTGTGTAGCTAGTCTATGCTGAGGGGCTTTTATGGCTGCAGCCGGTCAAGCAAGCCGTTTTTGGGCTTTCGACAGGGTTTGCAGCAAAACCAATAACGGCCATGGACCAAGGCCGTTGTTTTCTCTTCTTTCGGAAAAGGAATAACCTCCATTATCCATCCCTTCAGGGACCCTAGCCGCCTAGCGCCCACCCCACTGTAGAGCCCTACCTTGAAAGCCTTGAGAATTAGGGACTATCCCAGAGGTTTGCCTCGGTGGCTTATTGCCATTGAGCCCTATTCGAAAACCAACCAGCGTGCGCGGATAAACAAGATGTATTTTCATGAAAGGAAGGACGATAGGGGGTTGGCGCAGGGACGAAAAGTGTGTAATTTAGTAAATTAAAAGCCGTCCTTGGTACAGTAGGGATGTAGAGTTAATTTAGTACGGAACCAGCGCGGTTGTAGTACTCGATTGGTGCATCGCTCAGATAAACTGACTAATTGTAGGCATTTAATAATAATTGAGTAAGTAGGTATAGAATCTAGATTACATGTTTTGCTGTTTCTACGGCAGAGAAACCCAATACTATAACCCTCCCCGATTCGCAGCCTATCACAACCGCATTTGCTGAAATAGCTACTCTTCCACCACGACATTCAGTAGGTAACCAAAGCAAATCCTCTCCTGCCGATGTCACCCAGGTCTCGTCCTGTAATCCAAGTGTTGAGACCACCGTAGGCTGCCATGGTACGGGAGGTCGCGTGGAAGATAACAGATCGCCAGTAAAAGCAAATACGCCATTACTAGTGACAATGCCAGACTTGTCAGGCGTAAATGAAAGTATATCTGTGCAGGAATCTAATGAAATGACCTCTCTACACTCTCCTGTCTTTAGGTCCCAGATCCGCACGGTCTTATCGCGAGAAGCCGATGCTGCCAGCTGCGAGTCGTGCGAGAACACCACTAAGTTGACCCATTCGCTATGGCCTTCCAGCATATACTCGTGCTTTCTTGTCTTGAGATCCCAGATCCGTACCGTTTTGTCCCAAGAGGCCGATGCCAGCTTTGTCGAGTCGTGTGAGAACACCACCGAGTTAACCGAGGAGCGATGGCCTTTCAACATATGCTCACGCTTCCCCGTCAATACGTTCCAAACCCGTACCATCTTGTCATTAGAACTCGACGCCACCATTTTCAAGTCATTCGAGAACACCACCGACCTAACGAAACCGTTATGGCCCTCCAGCACATGCTCACACTTCTTTGTTCCTGTGTTCCAGATCCGCACTGTCTTATCGTTAGAAGCTGATGCCAGCTTTGTCGAGTCGTGAGAGAATACAACGGAATTGACCGAGTCGCTATGGCCTTCCAATACATGCTCACACTTTCCCGCTAGTATGTCCCAGATCCGTATCGTCTCGTCATCAGAGGCCGATGCCACCATCGTCGAGTCATGCGAGAACACTACAGAGTTGACGAAGTTGCTATGGCCCTCCAGCACATGCTCATACTTCCCTGTCTCTGCATTCCAGATCCGTACCGTCTCGTCATCAGAGGCCGATGCTACCATCGTCGAGTCGTGCGAGAATACCACCCAGTTGACTCTGTTGCTATAGCCTTCCAGCGTCAACAAACACGCATCCCAGTCTTCTTTAGCCCGCGGCCGGACGTTGAACCATTCTGGGATACGATTTTCGAATGCCTCTCTAACAATGCTCCTCCTCGGGGCGAAAGCTAGAGCAGAACAATACAACTGTAACGGTGCTTCAATGATCACAGAGAAATTCACCTTGAGGAATCGAACGGCATCAGCCAGAAAATTGATCAGACTGGAATCCCCTCGGTTCTGGTAGAAGTCAGCAGTAGTCAGACTTCAATCTACGGAAGAGGCTTGCCTCTAGCCAACCTACTAACGACCTAACTGAGTCAAGACATTCTCCAGCTCGGCCCATCAAGCTCAGCGCCTCTGCCCAATGAAGAAAGTGTGTCATCAGGAAATCATGGACCTCGTGGCCGTCATTTAGCTCAAAATCGGCCTTGGTATGATGATGAACCCAGTACATGCATGCATATTGAAGCTGTGAAGGTATGCACTTCTCGAGTCGCGCACTGTCTACCGCAGATTGACGTATACCTGGGAAAGGTAGGCCGCATATGTTCTCGCGTAGAGTGCCGCGCATAAGACGCAGACAGTGCTTTGCCAGGTTTCGGTGAGCGAGTTTCTCGTCCACCCAAAATTCACTTGACTCCTTCTGTTTAGGACTGATAAGGTACTCTCGAAATGATAGATGCAGCAACCGCACGGGCAATTTGCGTGTCGGCGGGATACTTAAAATCGAGTGAAGCGCATCTAGTCGATCATCCACGACATCCGGAGAGACGTCAAGTAATTGTGACAGAGCGGTTACTGATAGAGGACTTGCAAGGATAACAATACTACCAACAATGTCTTTGAAGTTCTCGATGATCTGTTCTCTGTCGTCTTTTGAGACATCGGCGATTTGGGAGCGTAAAACAGGCCCATAGGTTTGGTCAAGTTGAGACCCATGGCTTCTGTGTCCCTGTTTCAGAAAATCATGCAGCTGTTTCTGAGGGTTGCCACGCTTACGATTGTCGATGAACCGGCAAACGGTCGCCGCGAAAATGAAGAGAGGTACAGCCATTCTCGTGAGGTCCTGCAATGTTTTCTGTCCTGGCCAATCGGATGGGAGCTTCCGTTCATCCCCCACGGTGATGTTGAACTTAGCCCGAATTCTTCTGAACTGCGTTGAAGAAAAAGAACAGCACCGGTGACAAGGGCGACCCTTGCGGAAGTCCAGCTTGTGGCAGGTCCCGTCGCTCAGAGGTGTAGCCGTTTACCACGATCGTCGCGGACCGATTGGAGCAGAAAGCGTCGATCCACTTCACCAATCCCTTGGGGATGCCTCTGGCTTCCGGTCTCTGCAGTAGTCGATCCTTGAACACCCCGTTGTACGCTCCCTTCACGTCGAAGCTTATCAGGCTGAGCACCTTCCGGTTGCGCCACGCTTTGTAGATGTGCTCTTGGAGGAGCAGGAGTGCCTGCTCGGCCGATCGTTGCTTCCTTCCGCCGAAATGGTTGGTGGGTAGCAGTCCGAATGTCTCTACCTCGTACGAGATCCGGTCCGCCATGACCGCTTCCAATATCTTTCCCAGCGTCGATAGAAGTGAGATCGGTCTCCAGGCCTTGGCCACCTTGTAGTCGTCCTTGCCCGGCTTCTTGAGCGGGATGATTTTCGCGCTCCTCCACTGGACCGGCAGCTCTCCGTCTCTTAGGGATGTCCGAAACAGATGCAACACCCGGTCTCCCACTACTGGCCAGAGCTGCTTCCGCACCATCGCCGGCAGTCCATCTTCGCCTGGGGCTTTCCATGCCTTGGCCGCCATCACCTTCTCTTCCAACTCTTCTAGTGTCAACTCTGGCAGTGCTATTTCTCGCTGTGCCGGCCGGCGCTCTTCATCCTCGATCACAGCCGGCAGAGGCGGGAAGAAGACGCTGAGAAGCTCCTCTGCCTGTTCTGCCTTGTCGCTCGTCGTCGTTCCATCTCTTCTCTTTAGAGGAGGTATTTTATCACCTATTGCTTCGCCTCCAGGCGAGAGGTACTTGGCTGATTGCCAGATGTTGGCTCCGTCTTCGAGAAAGCTGTCCGAGTGTGCCTTTTTCTGCCTCCTGATCGCGTCGTGGTACTCCTTTGCCGCTTCTCTGGCCTTTTGCTCTAGGTCTGCTGCCTCTCGTCCTCGTCGCCGGCATGCCCTTGCCTGGTTGCGCCAGTATGTGTACATCCGCCTGAGTCGGGTCAGGTCCGTCGTCCACCACCTCTTGGCATAAGGCGACGGCTTGGCTCGCGGGACCAGGTCGTTGATCGCGTCCAGCACCACCGACATCAGCCTGTCCGTCTGAGCCTGCACTGTGCCGCCACACGGCAACGCTTCCAGTTTCGTCCTCACCCTCTCCTTGATCTCTAACCAAGGTGCATTCTTGAATAGCAGTCTGTCGCTGGGCGTTCGTTCCGGCAGTGTCGTGTCAAATTCCGTTCGGATCGCCCGATGGTCCGATCCATGCTCTGTTGGATGTATCCCACAGCTCGTCATCTCGTCCGCCAACTCCGTCGATGCCAGCACCAGGTCAATCGTGCTCGCTATACCCCCTGGGCCTTCCTACGTCTTCGTGCCTCGGGGCAGCAGGCTGTGAAGGTCATGTTCTCCCACCAGCTCTATGATCGGTCCAGCTTCGCCTTGCCTCCTTCCCGTCACTTCATCACCTCCCCATAGTGTGTCATGACGATTGAAATCCCCTACCAAGGTCACGTCAGTTCTTCTGCCGGACCCATTGCGGAACTTTGCAATCGCCGTGTGCAGCTGTCCCATCGCCGCTTCGAGTGCCTGCTCGTTTCTCCCCTCTATATACACCGACACAACCAGCACGTCACGCTCAGGGAACCTGACGATCGCTGCCGTCAGGTCTGGTGACGGTATCGGGACCTGCTCTGCCTCCAAGTCCCTCCGTATCCAGAGCATGCTGCGGATCGGCCATCGCGACACACGCGGCTCACGCGTCTTGGTGGGGATCATCTTCGTCCAGTTGCTGTGGTGATTAGGCACCGTCATCACCTGTCCCTCGATTGTGCATGCCCATGGCTCTGCCACCGCCAGCGCTACATAGTCCTCAAGTTCTTTGTCATTCATCATGCTCAGATGCACCTTATCGTTCTTACGCACGTTCAGTTGGTACACTTGTAGCCTAGTGCTCATCTCCTCGCATTTGACGCAATCGACATGCTCGACGGAATGATTCGTGCCGTCCTCCGCATGACACGCACACTGGCTCTGCTGATTCGCATTGTCCATGGTGATGTCCTCGCTCCGCACATCTGCCGCATCTCTGCGCTTCTTTGCAGACGAATGCCTTGTGGCCTAGCCCCCAGCAATTGTAGCATTGCACCACCTCGGCTCTAGGCTCGAACATGCTAGTTCTCGCTGATTCGCCTGCGAGGTGAAAGTATTTGTCTTTCAAGAGCCGTCTTGCATCGCTTTCTTTCGTCACGTAGATCACCATCGACCCGTATGCCTTGCCGTTTCCCTTATCGCTAAGCCAGTTCATCCTAGCAATCGTCACTTCGTTCTCTTGGCCGAGTACTTCAGCAACGCCGGGAAGAAGGTTGTGGTTCGAGTCCAGGACCGCCGACCGGTTAGCCCCATTGATCTTGACCGGGTACAGCCGCTCTCTCAGGAGCTTTGCCCCCGGTATATCTGTTTCCAACACTGCTTGTCGAACCATGTGAAGTTCCGCCACGTTTCTACAGATCACCTTGATGATGTTAGCGTTCCTGGCCCCTCTCACCACCGCTGCGCATCTCCATCTCTCGTCCTTCTTTCTTGTCCTCACAGCGGCTTCGATAGCCTGTCGGACCTCTCCAATCTGCGCCTTGTTACTATCATCGTCGCCCACTCCGGAGATGTCTATCGTGCAGAACAGGTCCTCTCCAGGGGATGAAAGCGGCGGCGTAGGTGATGACATCACCTCGGGGCCTCTAACACCGCCATTCTGCCCCTCTGTTGGCGACATACGAGCTATGTCTGCAAATGACTGCCTGGGGTTCGTCCGGGCGGAGCCGGCTACGGCGTGCTGCGCCATGATGTCTAATTTCTCATGGATGCGTTTGATCTCTTCGGAAGCCTGCACTTGCAGGGGCTCGATATCGCGTGGGGCGTGCTGCTGCATTCGTTTGAGCTCGTCAATCTGTTCCTGCATCAGCTTTCGTTCCTGTGCGGCTTGCGCCTGAATGCCTTGAATATCCTGTTGCAGCTGCCTAATCGCTTTCTCCTGGCCTTCGAACATTTGCTTGAGCGCCTGCTGCTCCTTTTTCCAGGCATTCCACAGAGTCTCAATGATTCTCTCGTGAGAAGTCGTGATTTCCTTCACGGTTTCCTGCTGCGCCTTCGCCATCTGTTTCATTGTTTCGTCGCGTACTTCGCGGATCAGGGCTTGCATTACTATCCCAACATTACCGGACAAGTTCTCCATTCCTTTCGCGTCGCGTCGCGCCCCGCTTGACTTTCCAAACGGCTGCCTCCACAACGTTAACAAAGATTGTAAAGATTGTAAAGATTGTAAAGATTCTCTTTGACTTTAGGGTATGTATCAAAGTAGCGCCATCCCGCTCAGTATGTATGTCTCTAGGTTGTGTGCAATACAATGATGTCTCGCAAGACTTCGTGTCGCAGGCCGGGCATGGTCTCAATGATCCTCAGGAACAACAGCCCTTAGTAATCAAGCTGGGTGATTTAAAGTAAAGCCTGTGGGATGGAATACCCCACACAGAAGATAGAACCAATCAACTCACTACTGCTGCTCCATTTTAAGCACATCCAGTGCGACACTTTGATTGGATTTGAGCTTAGCTAAGCGAGCTTCTCTACTGGGATCTCGGCCTGAAGAACCTTACCCTGCCAGTTAGTTTCCTGCCTGCCAATCGGATCCTGTCATGCTTGCCTGCCTCTGCATTCAAACGCAAAGCAGATGGACCGGTTGCGCCAGGTAAAGCGAGTTGCTGAGCGCTGACCAGTCGGCTTTTGCCCGTTCACCAAGTCAGGGATGGCATAACCCCTCCTAGTACGTACAACCTCACCCAATCAGAAAACGGGGTGGATCAACCTTTCCTTTCCGGGCCTGACTTGCAGGAGCACTGTGCCTTCAGGCCAGCTTCAGAACGGGCCCACAGGGGGAGAAATTACACGAGTCTTGTGTTTGCTTTCCACCACCAAGCGGTCATTTCGTCAAACAGAGCCGAGAAGATGCTTCATCATCCGAGTCATGTTCAACACACCTGCATACGATGACGTAAGTCTGGAAGGAAATGCGGATGACGGGGACAGTTCCATCTTCTGGGTTGTGCGCAGACTCCAGGTGTTTAACTGACCCACTGTTATTCCAGTATCAGCCGAAGCTCTATTTTGGCCAGACATACATCTGTATCTGTTATAATCTTATGAGCAAGAAACTGCCACTTTGGTGTTAAAGTATTCTTCTTGTGTCTAACTATAAATGGCTTAGATCCTTGCGAGTGACCAGACTGGAGTCTCAAGAGATGTGCCCCACCAATCGGACTAATGGTACAATTGCCGTTATTTATCCGAACGGCGATACGTAGAGCCGAGTTTGCTTGCGCGTCAACGTAATTCCCGAACAACCTAAACTTTGCAGACAAAGACCGACCACGATGACGGACCACGATGACGAGATCCAAAGACTCCGGCGTGAGCTGAAGGAGACGAAAGAACGAGAAACGGCAGCAAGAGAACGAGAAACGGCAGCAAGAGAACGTGAAGAATTGGCAAGGGCACGAGAGGAGAATCTTAGACGCGATCAACGAGACACCTCATATGACGAATACTTGCGACTCTGCCACGAAGACCTCTTCACGACCCTCAAGGTGCAGGACAAGTCGAAGTCGTCCGGCGGCGGCACAACAGATGTAACGGGTAAACGCTATCCTTTATGGTTGCGACCTTGGGATGGATTTGTCGACGAGCAGAAATCGTGCCACTGCATCATTAAGGAAATACTCGAAGGCTTCCTCCTGCCCTCACGAATAGCTGTCCGCGCGATAGCGCAAGCTGCTAACAAAAGGCCCGTGGCCAGCGAGGACGACCTCAGGACGTTTGAGCATCTAGCTGTAGAAGATCCTGTGGAGAACATTTTTGCCGCGCTTGGTTCTCGATCACAGAACCACCCGATCGGACGCGAACTCGATTGCAAAGCGATCACATTCGAGAACCACCCTCTCAGCCTGACGGAGACCGACGAGATTGATCGCAACGATGACGAGGTATTCTTCGAGACTGTACAAGGGCAATCCGGGTCAAAGAAAAGGGTGGCACGGCAACGCAGAGCCTCAAGAAGAAAAGGGCCGGATAGATGGTGTATTCGAGCCAGGAATTCGGGGGAAAAGAATACCGCATTTCCCAGCGAGTACAAAGCAGCACATAAAATCCCGGTCGAAAGTTTTCAGAAGGCCATGCATAGAGAGGACCTATTTATCCGCGTCATCTCAAGAATTTCCAGCGGGAAAGCTAGCACGGACGGGGAGAGTCATCTACAAGAACAGATAGAGGAAACGGTTGCCAAAGCATTGGCACAGACATTCCACTACATGATTCGGCTCGGCAGTAGCTATGGATACCTTACCGCTGGAAAGTCGTTGATCTTCCTGCACATTGGAGACGATCCCACAGTGCTGTATTACCATATGGCCCAGCCAGAGAGTGACGCCGAGCGTGAGGACGGAACGGTCGATCCCTTCTACACCGCCGTTGCACAACTCGCCGCATTTTGCTTGCAGACCTGCCGGTGCTCTGGGAAGTCTAATCAGTGGAGAGAGGCGGCAATCTCATTGCTCAAGGAATGGCCAGAGCCATATGCTGAGATGTGCGGTGGAACAACGGAGGAGGAAGCATCGCCAGAGTCAACACGCTCTGTCTCGTCGTATGCTGGGTCTATAGTTGCTGCTCAGAAACTCACAGTAGAGCTGCGACAAACGACAAGGGCATCATGCAAGAACTCTGAACCCTTGCCGAAAATTGATGCCAGCGATACCAGTAGTGGCGATGACGAGCCTCTGGTTGACGAAAGTGGACGGACTCAAGGTGCGCGGCCATCACTACAAGTGTCAGCCCGTGGCTCGAAAAAGCGAAAAGACATGACACCGGGAAACGACGGGTCTACAGGCAGCGGAGCGTCGGAACTCGAGGCTCGACCGTATTGCACGCAAAGCTGTCTGCTGGGCCTCAAAAGAGATGGGCTTCTCGATGAGAAATGTCCGAATGTGGCTCTGCATCGCCGTGCCAAAAGCGGCCTGTCGCATCCCATCAGTGCTACTCGTCTCAGGGAACTATTATGCAAGAAACTAGCTCGCCCCGTCTACCGCCTTCGCTATTTGAAACCCCTGGACAGCGATGGCAAATACGGTGATACAGGGGCACTCTTCAAGCTGACACTGGGATGTTACGGATATACATTTGTTGGGAAAGGAACATTCGCCGCGGCTGTCACAAGGTTGCAACACGAAGCGAATGTCTACTCGCGTCTAGAACCACTGCAGGGCCACTTTGTCCCCGTTTGCTTGGGCAGCATCGATTTGGAGACGCCCTACCCGTTGGTATTGGCTGACATCGTTCACATGTTGCTGATGTCATGGGTAGGAGATACGATTGTGACGAACGACAGTATCCTAGAAGAGGAGACGCGGCTACGGAGCTGCTTCGCAAGCAAGGCGTTGTACACAACGACATGCGGCAGGCGAACCTCCTCTGGAACGACGAGCATGACCGCATCATGCTCATCGATTTCAACTTGGCGAGCCTGTTGCACCCGGCGCGACATAAGCAGGTATCGAAGTTAACTGGTAAGAGAAAGAGGCATGGGCGCGACTCTGAGACCTATCATTATGGTAGATCACGGCACTTGGAGGGGTTTGAAGGCCATGATCGGCCTGGCTGCACTGTTTCATTGTAGATGTCGATTTGAACCCCAACTTCCCCCGGCTATGTAAGCATACAGAGGTGCACCACATATCCCTAAATATCTGAGCGGGCTCTTTCACCCGCTTCCGTGGCCGATTTTGCGGCTCTCAATCAGATCCGGACACTCAAGCGCTGAAGCCTGCTCAACGGCGTGAATACGCATGACGAGCCAGCCACCCCTGAGTAATGGAGACAGTGCTACCATTTGCCAACATTGGGAGACTCACGTGCCAATTTGAGCCACTTCCTGGGAAGCCAAAGTATGATTGCTAAGGAACTGTGCTCAACCAATTGATGTGGTCTACGTAATCCATATTTTATCCGGAAGATCACGCGGGCTAAACAGGAGATATCATGCAATCCAGTCACTCTGCATTGACCGTCCGGGACTGTCGATCAACCATACAGATTGGGGTGACCTGACCAAGTACCCGATTCTGTCTCTATTGAGACCAAGAGTCCGGAACAATCCCACGATGTCGCACTGTTTGCAGATAACCATAAGCATAATTATTGAAGTCAGGAAGTAACAGTTAACCCAAGCACCATTACGAATACAGAGTTAAGCCATAGCCATTAATATAAAAACATATCAAGAAGTAATAAGTTAATACCAAACTAAATGTAATATAGCTAGTATGGTACTAATGAGCATTATTATTGAGCAGAATCTGAATAATCTTCTCGTGGCGGTGTAATGATGCTAGCTTTAGGGCTGTTGGGCGCCCTCTTCTTGGTACATTAGCATCGGCGCCTTCATCGAGAAGAAGTTGGACAATACGGGTATGCCCTCCCGATGATGCTAGGCAAAGGACCCCGTTTAATGTCGATTGAATTGTGCATTCGGACTCTATGTCATGGGAAGTACACTGCCACTTGTGAGCAATGATGGCCTTCCTAGCCGTGTTTAACCTTCCTTTCTTTACAGCCCAGAGTAGGGCAGCTGGGCTGTCGCTTTTCGCATCGCGGTAATATAAGATGTCGTCAATGATAGGGTAAATTTGCTTGCTAGTGCGAAGCAAAGTGGCAAGCTCTTTTGCTCAAGGAAAGTAGCAATTATGAAGTAAAGTTCTGGCGGTAAGGCAAGAAGTACCATTTCGTCTTTTGGAAGTTGTTTCCAGCTACAGCGGGGACAAGGCACGGGAAAGGTTTAGACAGAAATGTGGCATAACTCAGTGAAAATAATCTAGACGAGACATGACAGGCAGAGATGTAATAAAACAGGTTAACTACCAGCTTGCTAGGTGGAGTTTTGGGCCGGTTAGACTTCTCTGGACAAATTCGCATGGTACGCAACAGGTCCCTGCTTTGCGTCCAGAATGGGACCTTGTAAGCTACGTATCTTAGGCATTATTTGTAGGTGTTCTATAACATAGCTATTTCAGTCTATCCCTTTCATACGAATCCCTTTCATACGAATGCTCCGTCTAAGAAGTTCGACAGGCAGAGTACCTGTGGGGGCAGAAGTCATCGAAGAAGAAAAAGAAGAAGGAAGACTAGGAAAAAAGAGAGTTTATTCAGAACTGGGGTTGTAACCTCTAACAAGAGAAATACTTCCCTCAGTCTAGCCAATCCCAATACGGAATTATCTCAGCCACAACAAGCCACAGTAGCTTCGATTCAGTGCTTCAGTACTCTGTACATTCATCATCCAACGAGGACTTTAAGTCTCTTCTACGCTCCTAAATTTAAACGTACTACTAGCGATCTTTAATGTAACACGCCTCTGAGCTGACTGTGTGGATGTCAATATCTTGTCATGCCATTTCCTTGATTACCCCCAGGCCCAGTAATGTAATAAAAACTACTGACTACTCGTCCTTGTAATTCTCTCCTTCTCTTAAGGGTGCAGTCTAACTTTAAAAACTTGGCCCCTATAATTTATATCTAATTGGTTCAAGCAATTCGGGGGGAGTGATGCCGTGTATGTAGATTTTTCAATGTCAATCACAGATGATTCTCCGTCCTGTTGGACTAGTTCGTCGTTGATATCAGTCATCCACTCGACATCAAATTTTAGGTGATTGTGGGGATACTCCTTGTTCCCATTGTGAAACGCCGAATATTCAACATAGAGTCTCAGTGGACCAACACGGACGCACGTCGCATCATCCGAGGGAACGCAACCAGCGATTAGTTTGCGTTGGGGTTTCATCCCTAGTTTGTTATAGGTTTCGCCCTCACTATCTGAATACGGTAGCATTTGGATTTGATCGCCGGTTGCCATTGGTGTAGCGATTTCCATGATCGAGGCTGTATCGTCTACAGGAACGGAATATTCTGGAATACACCCAGCAGCTTCTGAGCACCCAGTCGGCAAAGTAGCTATACTTTGTTTCACGTCCTCACTGGTCATTCTTCTATGAGATGTATTGGTGGTATTGTGGCTTGTCGTCTCCACGGCTTTTGGACTTGTTAACACTGAAGCTAACGTTGAAACCGATCGTCTAATTGTGAGAATTGTGCTTTCTAGGGGATCCGGTAATCTGAATTTCCTCTGCTGTCTGAATAAGTCTCTAACACTATTTCCGGCCATCGCTTCTAAAGCATGATTGAACTTCCTCATTGTTTCGTCGTTCACTGATGACGCTGGTAAACGCCAGCCAGGGTAAAGTCTTCCGTGACATTTTGGACTGTGAAGTTTCGTGATGGTGGTAATGAAGTAGTCGCAAAGATAGCAAGCATCCTTGCTCGAACATACGACGCGTGGTGGTCGGGTTAAGCGAAGTGCTTCAATGTGGTAGAACAACTGGATTTCGGCATGGATTTTTGCTCCTTTCAGAGCTCGCCGTACCTGATCCGAGAACATGTGTTCAGCCTCGTCTTTACCAAGCTTCAATAAAGAATACATCCTATCAGAATTGGCAGAAAGGTGGTGTTTGCTGGCAATCCGGCGTAATGTAGTACTTAAAGAAGGCGAGTGGTGATTGACTTCTACTCTGGCGAACATTTGACGCTGAAGAGTGACAGAAACAACTTCTGCTCTTCGGAGGGCCGGGTAACGCTTAGCCATGCGACAAAGGTATCTAGCCGCCTCCCTATATCTAGCCACTTTGCAGATGATGTTATACAAACTGATTCTCAAGCTGGGGTCTATGAGATTGTTTGGGATGCAATCAAGTAGCTCATGGAGTTTATTCGTCGTCCACATTTTATGGACTCCTTTCACGAGTTCCCTCAATCGAGTAGTTGTTTGGTGCTTGGTCCATGCTGTAATGAGCTTGACAGCTTCATTCGCCCTAACTTCGAAGGTCGATGCAGACTCCACCAAGTCTCTTGGATCCAATTGTTTTCGGTGAAGTTTTCTCAGAGCATCGACAGTCTGACTTAGAGTTTCAATCATCGGTTTCTTGATATTTTGTTTATTGCTTGGACGTAGACGAAGACGACTGAGGATGCGTTCGGCACAGACATCTATAATCACGCGAAAGACATCCTCAATCGTATCATAGGTATCGCAAGCTACTTCTCAATTAGTACGTAGTCTTATTCATATTTATGTGGAAGAGGCCTCATGACTGGGTCAATGCACGCACTCTCTGTATGCTGCGAAAGTGACGCAAGTATCCTACTCAACGCGAGTTTCATTTCTAGTAGATCGGTGTTGCTGTCATCAAAACCTTTCTTATTTACTGCCAAGTGAACTTTCAAAGCGCAGACGCCAGGAATACTCTCGATGCATAAAGCAGGAATTCGATTCGGATCATCCCGAATACTGGAAAGGAAAGCCAGGGTACTCGCTAGTCCCCGCTCTTTGTCAAACGGCAAATTGTATCCCGCCTCGGGTATCTGATCTTTGTCAATCGGCGAGGTCTTGGGCATACTTGGGACACCGTGTAAGAGAAAAAGAAAGCTGATATTCTCAGCACATAAGATGTTAGGATTCAGCTCATAGTCCATGTTGCCAGGCATAGTTTTATTGTGTGTTTTCGAACCGAGGGGAAAACTAGAAGCGGGGTTGCCAGTCGCTCAGACACAAGACCATCGCAGGCGCCCTTGATTTTCATTCGTCAACAAGCTCTGTCACGTTATGCACCTGCACCATTTGCGGCGCCACAGTTTCCAAAAGGTAAGTGGTCGGCCGGATCATTTACAGTCGTTTTTTCCCTTCAAAGGTAGATACGTACATGAAGATGAACCATGTGACTTATACCTACGTAAGGGCCGTTTTATTTCTCCCCACACATGTCCGTAGCTTGCTTGTTACAACTTCTAGTTTCCGGAGAGCGCGTAGGTGACTGCAGGTCATTACGCGGCAGTGCTGGAGAAAACAGAAAACTTTGTACTTGATTGATATTTAGAGAATTCAGGGTTATTGTTGCCTTGATGTTTCTAAAAGAGAGAGGGAAGTATTGTTAGATTGATTTGTTCTTCTACTAGACCATCCAATCTGCTGAACAACCTAGTTTATTTGGGCGGATGCTCTCGATCTGGCTTGACTCTCCCGATGCTTGGGTCTTACGTGAGGAAAGCTTTGAGATCGCAGACTGGTCTTTCAAGTGCGATTCGGATGTGCCCGAGCAATTACAATATACCCATCTGTAAAACTACATATGTATGCAACAACAGAAAGTCTTGATCAGTTCCTCATAGCATCGACGGCCACGTCAAATGCAACATTTTGTGCTTGGTAATAAAAGATTCCACTGCGCTACAAGCATTAACCCCGAAGAGTCACCGTGGACTGATTGCTCTGGTCTATTTCGTAGACTTGTATCCCCAGAGCCTTTCACGTTCCCAGGTCCACCACTGAGCCACAGCATCGGCTTGTACAACCCATTGCGACGCTTCCTCGCCATAGAGATTTCTCACATCACCAACTAATTGTTCTAGTGACCATTTCTCAAGAGGCTCAAGCTCGAGCGGGTCGTTCTTCAAGTCGGTGAATCTCCACTGACATGCACGGTCAAGAGGTATGACAAGCCTCCAGGGTGCATCTGCGGACGTGACTGAGAGCATACCCGCGCCGCTATTGATGACGCCAAAGTTCCATGCACGACAGCCGTTCCGAGAGCTCTTATATGGCCGGATGAGCGATTGTCCTTCATAATCGTGAAGGAGATCAGATGCTACGGCCATGTCCTTACGGTTAAGCGAACCGGTGTTAATGAGCAAGTCCAAGATCGTGGGAAGAATGGAGATTGAAGTTGCATTCGCTTCGTACTGCACGCGAGGGATATGAGGATGCCTGAACGTGATGGGCACACGAAAGTTGCTGACATGACCATTCTTGTAGGTCCCGGTCCTGGTGGTGATATCCTCTCTGAATGCCTGCCCATGGTCTCCGACAAGAACCACAAGAGTCTCGTTGGCAATGCCGTGTAGTTCGAATAACTGCAGAAGCTCGCCGAGCCATGCATCTTGGAACCTCACAGTATTCAAGTAGCTGTTGAAGTCCCTATGCCATCCCATATTCTCTTGTGTATTCACATACTCGATCTTTTTGAAATCACGAGGTAGTCCCCAAGGGTGATGGGTTGTGCTAGTGAAATGGGAAAAGAACATTCTCTTCTTCTCCCGTTGCACTTTCTCAATCAGCTCTCGTACTTGTGTCTTTAAAGTTGTTTCAGGGTATCCAAAATAGTTGATTTCTTCCCAATCGGACCGTGCCTTAGCTCTTTGTTCCAAGACATCCTTAGTAACGATCTCTTCGAAACCCATCTCATTGTTGAATATGTCCTGGCGATCATACTTGTCTGTTATAGATTGAAAGAAGGCTGTGAGCCATTTCTGCTCCAGAAAGTCGTTCGAAGCCGTCTTAGCCCCCTTATTCTGATTGAAGAGATGTAGGATTTGTGAGATGCAAGGTTGGTAACTCTGCGCTTCGGATTCTTGAAAGCTGTCGACAGGCATAGGCCAGACTCCACAGTGAGTCGCAGCCAAGCTCTTGAACGAAAGAGAAGCGGCAGCGAAACCACCTATGACGTTGATGCCACCGTAACCATCCTGCGTTGTACCATTCCACTCTGGTATTGGTACTTTGGCGAGATCCGAACCATTCGTTCTCTTCCAGCAGCCAGATTTTCCAGTGATCTTCTCCGCCACTGGAGTCAGTTGGGATAAAAACGCATTGACATCATCACCGTCTTTTCGTCCCTTATGAGTGTCCAGGATGATGTTGTGCATGTCTGACCCCTGTTGCAGGGGAAAGAGCTCCTCTCTAGTGCTTTCCAGCATGATCAGAGCAACGTGCTTGATCTTGACTGTCCCATTCCTAAAAGTATCACTAAGGATGTCCAAAATGCTTTCATCTTGATTGGTGATCCGAAGTGGGTCGTTCACTGGGTTGTAGAACATACCATCGACCTTCGTTTCGTGACAGACACGACCAGTGTCACCACCATATCCTACCTCTCTATTCACTTGGTTCGAATGATTTGTAGATAACCATTTGCAAAATCCAACAGGAGATGTCTCCGGTAACCAAGTCGGTAGACGGTCTCGATACATCTGGGCCAGAATGCTGTTATCACCCGGTGCCCATCCTTTGAAGTACCCTTTGGGCTTTTCCCAGTTTGTCGTATGGATGAGTTGCGGAAAGGGCCAGGGATTCCTGCTAAAAGTATAGCGATTGGCCGGGCTGTCACTGTGCGAGCCGATCATCTGCAGCATCGTGATGGGCAGGCTCGCCGACATTTGAGAATATGGTGAGGATGGGCGGAGACTGGCTGTCAAGGCTAAGTAGAGGAATATGGCCAGGGCCAGAATCTTGGGGTATCTGCGCGACCTCCCGGTATTGGCCTGGGGCGGTAGGTCAAGATAGACCTTCCCATGGCTGTTACCGGTTTGGAAATTGATGAAGCTCTGATAGTCATACGCGTCCTCGACACTGTGACAGCCACGACGGCGTTTGCACATGTTCCAGAGCTGTGGTGCTTTCAGAACTATAAGTTAGCTTCTGTGGGAGACTATGTGGAGCCATGGATACTTACCACGCAACAATGGTGCCGTAATCATGTTCAGAGACCTGCCAGCATACTGGTACAGATGCGTCTGGGAAAACCACGATATACCTAAAATGAGAATAACACAGACGATAGCGGAATTAGATCCACTGAGTAAAAGTTTGATGCCATCTTTATCGCGAACATATCTCTGTGCATTTGTCCACGTAACCTCGGTGCCAGTCTCGTAATAGAATGTTGCATGGAAAGCTGTTGCGACGAGTAGGATGAGCCTGGTTGTTTATAAGCATTCAATCACAGGCAATTATAGACGTTTACCACTTACGAGAAAGTGCAGCCTAACAAACGGCTTATGTAGGTGATGGTGGTCCTTTTCCGGGACAGGAATAGTCGTGATAGACATATAACCACTATGTCGGGAAGTAGAACCGATGGCAGGAAGAGTATGAGGGCAACGTGCGGCACAGTTCCAACATATGTATATAGGTGAATCAGTTTGGACAGGCACGTGCAGACAACGATGACGGAAAAGCTGAGTGAGACAACCATCGCAGTTACACAACCAGGCTATCTTAACGATGGGCACCAGGGATTCGTAACATGGGAAACAATATATCGTAGGTCTAGGGCCATTCAAGAGTGCATGGAAGTCTTGTAAAGAAAAGCCACAATACTGTAATGTCCCCAGTACATTTGAATGTTGACTGATAGTTCTTGAATGGCTCCTCGGGGTTATTTGTATGTACATACAATGCACGCATTACAAGTCCTTCTCAAGGTCATCATAATAGTGGAGTCTCCTGCTTCCCTAGCTTTATTTCCATTGGCGTAAATGCCATCATACGTCCGGCTTCCCATGAACTCCTTTTCCGGCCCGCGCTTTGCTTGATGCTTAATTTTGGACCAAGCCTTGAATGCACATTCATGGCTCTTTCAAGCAGTTCAATCCCAGGAAAGCTCTCTGATGCCAGTCTGGGTTGATAAGATTCTGGCACTTTTGAACACTTTCCAGAAACATGGTAAAGCTCAAGGTTTTATTTCGCGGAAGTAGCTTGGATTTCAATATCGCATGGTAAAGCTGTTCAGCATGGGCCTCTTCTAGGGAATTCATACCCGTGGCATCAACCATGAAACCACATATGCTCTGATTTTTAAAAGCCGAGTACTTGCTGTTGAACTGATCCCAGAAAGCACTTTTTTTGCCTCCTGACGCTTCAAACAAGCCATGCGCAAGTGCTATTATGTGGTCAGCTTGCGCGTGATTGACTGATTCCGGATCCGGCCCGTCATCTTTCTCGAAGAATGTTCGCAGCATGGATATTTCATCTCGTGCCAATAGCTCCCTAGCTTCTTCCGCATTATAATCAGGATATAGACTTAGAGCCAAGATCTGAAGATATAAGCAAAACCTAGATACAGTCGACCTATCGGCTTCCTGAAAGGATACGGATGTGAGTTGCTCTGAAGGTTCGATACCATACTGCACAGTACTCCAGCATTGCCTGGAAGTGTACATACCTTCAAATTCTCCCTGAGCGCGACCCATTGAACCATCATCCTATCGGCGTGTTCTTTTAGTGTTTGTTTCTCAATCGACGTCAGGCTCGTGCGATCCATGATTTAGTATATAGATGCACCAGAAAATCACTCGCCCCAGAAGAGGCTGGTAGGCTTTTGAGACTGTCCTGAGGTGAGTCGAATCCAAAGTGAATTGCATCTCTTTATGTTTCAATATTAACCATCTGGCAGATTTCTGCCGGGGGACGTCCGTATCCAGAAACCTGACTATCCACGTATTCGTTCCTTTTCTTTTGCATATCAACAACAAATAGGGTCGCCGACTACCTCAAGGCTCATCATCGCTATCACCATTATCATAGGCCTCTACCTCGGCAGCCGCCGCATCTTGTACCTAATTTGCTTTTGCGTAGATAACTTCCACCGCCAAGGTATCTTCCAGGTGTCAAGATGTTCCAGATTCGGTATCGCCTTTGTAGGCGTACTAAGTTACGTCTTCTTTTCACGCCAACCTATTTGATCCAAATATGACTTGTAAGTCCATTTGACACCTACAAAACTCGTGAACAAATCTGAGTTGCTGAGATGAGATGACACACAGTATTACTGCGCACCATGCGTGTCCATTACCCTACTGCTACGGTACCTTGGACCCTGTGGATGCTCATTGCTGTATCTTGGACCCATCTAACCTCAGCATCATGCACCACCGCCCAGTGGAAACCTCTGGCCGGGCAGACAATCGGCCTAGTCTTAAAGGCACTTGATATTACTATACAGGACCTCAAGGCTTTGAACCCTTCTATCGACGTTGATTTGGCCAAGGATTATGACTTCTACGATGTGCCGTATAAGGAGAGATTGGTTTTCGGCTCGTGGAGTACTGGCTGCCCACGCTTGCTTCAAATTCCCCTCCATCCAGTTGTACCCATCCATACCCCTACAGTCAGAAAATATGAAACAGGTGCCAGCTATACTCATGGCTGGAAATTTTCAACTAACACAGGTCCGTATGCCATGCCCGGTACTGGCGTGATCATACGCCCGACATCTACGACAGGCAAGGACCGAGAAGCGAGCATCATTGCTACTTCATGTACCATCTTGAATAGCATGTCCCAAAGCTTGGGAGTAAGCGATGACGTCGCTGATACGGTCGAGAAGCCAACAAGCGAAACGTATGGTAATATACCAATTGGAACGTTGATGACTCTTATACGGGTTCCGTCAGCCAGGACAACATTCGACGAAGCGGTGGAACAAACCGCAGTAACTTCTGATAACGAGATAAAAACGTCGATGGCGGCTCACTCGCAGAAGCCTACAGCGGAATCGGTTTCAATCAATATGCTAGGAGTCGAATCTATGATGGGGAAACTATATACGCAGTTGGAGCATTCGCAGGCAATGTTGCACACAACAACAGCCGTAGATTTGACTTCTCACGGAATTGCAGAAACCACAGAAGTTTCGACAACGGTACTCACAACCCCACACATCACAACAACTTTGACAGCGGAATCAGAAGATACCAACAGCCCAGTGCTGATAACGTCGACAATTACGCTTGTGGAGAAACAAACTGTCACGAGGGCTTCGCCCGGCCAAACGACTCTTCCAAAGCCTATATGTGGAGGTAAAGATGACTTGCGAGGTCATGTTGACATTCAAGATCAACGTGTAAGGCAGACTGCGTTTGAATGGTGTTCCTTACCGGCTGTCAAGGGGCTCATGAGTGCTGGTGATGGATGTGTAAAAGATGTACAACGTGACTCGTGGGACGTCCTTTATGAATACTCCATCTGTTGGGCGGAAGACTGCGTAGGCGAGTCACAGGACAGGCAGAAGCCCCTTGGGGATGAAGGGCCTAGGTGTGAGGTTATTCTTCACCAGTACAGCTGGAAAGCGTGCAATAACGGAGGTGTGGGAGGGCAAGTCCAGGCTGGCTGCCTCATCTACAAGATACGAGCGGGGGTTGGAAAAGGCCAAGGTTATTGATAAGTCAGATGCCAGGCTTCGCAATACTAAACAACACGGAGCACTTACAGATGGCTCACAGTTTTAACCCCACGTAACATAGATAGAGTCGTGGCATGTAAATGATATGAATTAGGCGATTGTTCTTCCGTTGCTTGAAGTGTACGACATACTGTAGAGAGATGCTACAATGTACGGAAGAAAAATGCGGCAGCCTATTCTTTCACCTAGGAGGTAAGGCAGCATAAGATGGTCCGAAATAGACACCGAACATGGACGCAGTACAAGCTGCAATCAGATTGCGATCGCTACAGGTCGCATGGAACAGACATGATCCAACGAAACTAACCTAGCATCATGAAATCGATACTAACGAACTAACAATCTCTGACGTCCTCAAATAGCCAAGAGCAGGCACCGCTTCAGTCGCCGAAGATAGGAAACTGAACACTTGGAGGAATTGGGCTTCAAATAGACCTGCTGCTACTAATAGTCACGAGGACTAAGAAGAAAAGCAATGACTAGACTGGAAGGAATATTGTGGAAGCTGTATGGGCTTGGCGAGTGCAAGATAAGAATTGGCGAAGTGTACGTACTTTTATTTCTTAGAGCCCTCTGGGCGTTGACTTACTAGGCGTAATGGATCTGTCTGTCTGTCTGTCTGTTTGTCTGCCTATCTGTACAGTATCGATGAGGGGACTAGTTCCACGTCTGTTAATACACAGCAGGATTGAATATGGACTTTAGGTAATGTGGATATAGTTTGACTAACGTGTGGCGAAGCAGGGGCGTAGGGAGCGGAGGACGAAAATAAGAAAATCAATGCAAGCATTAGTGACTAGTGCCTTTTCGGCCAAACCAAGTCGCCAGGCGAGAGTCATGGAAAGACTATCCAGGGAAGACAAGACAGAAATGGCCGTTGAGTCGGGCAAGATAACTTCCTTACTTGAAATTAATAGCAGCTGGCATACTGTACAGTACCTTGCAAGTGCACACTCCGACTTTTTAATGGTGACAATATAGTCCGAATGCGACCTCTGATGACCTTCCAGCATATACGGCCGAATACATCTCTCCGTCGATTTCACCTCTTCGCTTTCGTGACATGCCTCGTATTTCTCCTTCATATGATTAGATCTAAACCTTATAAGAGATGAAATTGAGGGCTTTGCTAGTGACAGTATTGACGCATGGCTGTTTCTAAAGCATCGGCTTACAACCCGAGCATATTCGCATATTCAATGCTAACGTTATAGCTGGTCCTTGTAGCCCATTTTCTACGCATTCATCCAGCCATTTCAAATATCCGACTTGAAAATATGGCCGACAAGCTTGGGATCGAGGATTCTAGAGTGACATGGCACACAGCAACAATCCGCCACAAAACCTACCATTACATGAAAGCCGACCCGGATAACGAACCCCTCGCGACAATTATCCTTCTGCATGGGTTTCCTGATTTGGCCTTCGGCTGGCGGTATCAGATCCCCTGTCTGCAATCTCATGGATATCAGATCATCGCGCCAGACATGCTTGGTTTCGGCCTTACCAGCGCCCCTTGTCAGCCAAGCTCGTACGCATTGAGGAGCATCGCCGAGGACATCAGAGGCCTGGCAAATCTTGTCGCAAAAGATAAAAAAATCATCCTCGGTGGACACGACTGGGGCGGCGCCGTGGTTTGGCGCACGGCTCTGTGGTTTCCCGACCTGGTCCAGGGTATTTTTAGCGTCGGCACTCCGTTCATCCCGCCCTCGCGCATCTATCGTTCGCTCGATGACGTCACGCAACACGAGGGCATGAAGAGCTTGAGGTATCAGCTACAATTCCAAGGCGCGCTGATTGATAAGGAGATAACGGATGAAACAAAGATCCGGCAATTTCTTAATGCAATGTTTGGCGCGAAGGGTCCAGAAAATGAAGTTGGCTTCCATGCAGCAGAAGGCATCCTGTTTCACAATCTACCCAAATTGAACCAATCCCAATTGCTGTCGAACGCCGAGATGGATTATTATGTCTCTAGATATTCTCTACAAGGACAGGCTAAACTAGAAGGACCCCTCCGCTGGTATCGCACACGGGCACACAACTACCTCGACGAGTTACGGCTCTTATTGAAGCCCCTCAAATTCTCAATGCCGGCATTGTTCTTGGCTGCCATCCGGGACGAAGCGTTACCGTCAAGCATGTCCGAGGGCATGGATCAATACTTTGAAAACCTGACTCGCAGAGAGGTGGATGCGTCTCACTGGGCACTATGGGAATCGCATACCAAGGTCAATGAGCAGATACTAGCGTGGCTAGAGATGGTGGTACAGCGCAAATCATAGGAGCCCTGCTATATACCTAAAGATCTTTGTAGGCGCGCATATTGGCTATTATAAACGAGTTCATTCTATCGGACTGTTCGTCGCGAAGGGGACTGGTCCATTTGAGTGTTGGGCAGGTTCCAGAATGTAAATTAAGGTGTGAGAATTGCTGGTTTATGTAGACGAGCTGCGAGGTTTATATCAGCATGGCTACCTAATAGTACTGCTGGCCGCAACGTTGCACCAGATGATATTCTAGGCCGACTTGAGGCTGACTCATTTGGACGTGCAATCATCTCGTCTTCCCGGTTGCGGGTTGAATAATAAATGTCTGGTATGCCTAACATCTCGTCTGGTACTAAACTGGGCTCCTTTGTAGTTTTCTCGATAGTATTAGAGAAAGCTTATGTGATTATCTACTTATTTAAAGCTTTTTACCATAACGTTATACCTTAAATTATCGTCCTCGAAACTACGATTGGCTCGTACGATGAAATAACTCCACTTATGTTTTTTTTTCCTTAACTTGCCTGATATCCAAAACTTGATCAAATGAGATTCTTCTGCTTCAGCTCATACACTACACTTATCCGAGCAATTTCGCTACATCAACTCGAGGCTATATTCGCTTATCAATTGAGTATGTACCCTAAACTGAAGGTTGCATATGAAAGTCACTTGGGCGGACTGTAGGTTTATTTCTTACCCTATCCACGAACATCTAGATCGGTGAATGTGTACTAATATATGTGTCGTACTGCAGTTGCCATTCATTCTTCTACCATTACCAAACCATGGTAATTGGGTGGGATCGCTTGTCAAAAGTGATAATGTCTCGTACCTAATGTAAGAGTCAATCATTGAGGAGAGGTACATTTGCCGACGACAAAGTCAAATTCCACCAACAATCCTTAGCTTGTCCCCATTTGCAGCTCAGCCAACATGGCAGCTTGAAAGTTGTGAATCTCTTTCAAGCCCTAGGTACCACGCAAGATGACCAGGATTGGAACGAAACGCACGGATCTCCATCATTCGAAGCCCACTCAATGTAGATTACTCGATATCAAGTCGCAGCTTTTGCACATTAAGCCATATATGTATTCCGCCGCTCAACTGCCCCCTAGATCATACCCCCGCTTCTATGCCGGAAGCAATGTTTCTGTATCTTGAATCAGGATAAACAAGTAAGTTTTCTGTTTGATCGAGATTTCCCAAAGATCTGAAGCTCGTTCCCACCAGCGATTCTTGTCCTCTCCCGTCTCCCGATGCTTCCCAAAACATAGCCCCTCCCAGGCCTCGCTGCTTCAAGTAGGACACCTTTTTCTGGATAGTTTCTGGAGTATCGTACGAGCAGATGCCTCCGCCAGATTGATACTTGCCGTAGTACGCTTGGGCCTTCTCATCGTGCATTATTTCGAGACCTTGTTTGGATAAAGCCTTGTAGTCCCAGACACCAGCCTCCCAGCTACCTAGCGCCTTGTTGGGAAGGCCTACGCCTGAGTGCGGTTCCCCCATGCCAGATGCACCGATGAAGGATCTTCCATACGCAGGCATGCCGAGGATGAGTTTGTGAGACGGTACCCCGGCATCAAGGTAGGCTTTGACGGCATCATCAGTATTGAATGGAGTAGAGTGGGGAATATCTGTGTTGGCATAGAGATTAGCGCTGTGACCAGCTACAGAGCTCCAGGATCCGGCATAGTCGTAAGCCATAAGATTGATGTAATCGACTATACGACCAAGATCCGCGAGGCGTAGTTTGCTATAGTGACTCGAGCCCGCTGGAGCGGCGATGGTAAGCTGAAAGTGATATCCCGGTGCGTGCTTAGAAGCGTAGGCATCGAGCTCGTCCCGAACCGCCTGAAGGAGGAGTACCATATTGGCTGCATCTTCATCACTAGCTGGGTACTCCCAGTCGATATCGATACCGTCAAAGGCCCAATCTTTCATAAGGGTCACTGCCGACTTGGCAAAGGTAGACCGACTGGCGGCACTAGCTGCAGTAGTGGCGAAATTTGTAGACCAAGTCCAGCCGCCGATGGATAGCAGGACCTTGAGGTTGCGGTGCGCCTTTTTCAGGAGAAAGAGTTGCTTAACGCATCCAAACGCATTATCTTTATCGCTTTCGAGCCAAGCTAGAGAGAGGAGATTGGTCCTCTGTTAGCAAACGAGTTGATCCGAGTTTGAGCTTTGGCAAGTTATACTGGGAAACGGGTTGGAATAGCTAGGGAGGGTTGATGGGGTTCTGCGTTTGCCACGAAAGATGCATTTGAAAACCGCAAACGCCAGAGATCGTGGGTGACGGTAGAAGTCAAACTTGCTGTAGGTGTGAAAAAACTTACAATCCCCTTCGTAATGTTTTTCCAAATCTGCGTATGTATCGCCTGTGAATCTAAGAAGGGTTAGGATCGAAGCTTCCGATATTACTATTTTCTTCCGAGCGAACGTACACAGTGCCGTCCTCCTGCATATTCATAAAAGCGTATAGTACATGTGTTATGCTGGAGACGGGGAGATCCTGGGGTTGGAAATCTCGCTCATATATCCCCCTGAGATACGTTTACGATCAGTATCTCGTCTCGTTCAATATGATCCGGCCGTGGCTGCGGCAGGCTTGCCAAGGCTTCAATCGCATGGAAATTAAGGCTGCCATACCAGTTGATAAAGTAGACCATGTTGGCATATTTTACGTCACTCTGGGAAGGTTCCCTCTGATACAGTTGTAAGGCGTTAGGCTCTGCGGCGCTAAGCATAGACTGGATCGCAATGACCAAGACGGCCATTCTCAAGTAATGAGCCAGCATATTGCAAGCAATATGTTTGTTGAATAACTGTTTGATCTTAAGAAGGAGTAAGCGGATGTAGAAACTAGAAACTAATGTGATTTAACTTACCTCTAATGGCCCCGATGATGCATGGATGCAGAAACAGATTATACTAAACAGATCCCATAGAAAAAGGACAGCAGAGAAAAATGTATTTGTCTTTTTTCTTTCCACGCTGAAAGATATACTGAAGTAGGGATGAAAAAGACTCGGCCTTCTTTAGCTGGTGGTACTTGGCGTCTAAGGCTGTCGGTACTTTTGGTAGTTAGAAACCTAGTACTCCATATATGGCCATTATTGGTGTATCTCATGTATAGGAGAGACACGTTTACAGGATATTTCGATGAAAATGGACTTTATTGAGGCATGTCTTTTACTCGCATACCGAGCTGAACCGAGAAGCGGTGATGTCCTAATAATACCTAGCTGAGGCGGAACCTAACCCCTATATCGTCTTCGAGCCGGGGAAGGGGGTTACAATCTCCGAGGAGTTGCAGAAATCTGACTGAAACGGGCATCTGGGACTACAAAGAGGATTTGAAAAGCGGTACCACGCCGTGCAACCAGTCTGGAGGACAGATATGGGTGGAGGACTGCAGCTAATTATTACTATGTTTGGAAACGTTGTTTAAGAGAACGCAGATTCTCCGTGAAGGCTGGCCCGTGGGGGTTGATTGTGAATATTCGATAAGCTAACAGAAGTTTCCCGGCGTAGTGCGGTAGGGTTGTACTGTTCAACATTCTATCACATATTGCATCTTGAACAAAAGAATATCAAGTGGTTTCGGGAGTTTTCTCTTGTCGTATCTTGCTATGCTCTATAGTTGTACAGAATTCGCTCTGCTGCTGCGTGCTCATTCCCATTTCGTCTGTACAATAACCAACACCCTACGCTGCAGCTGCTGCAAGTCGCTCGAAGACTTCATCCTCGCTCGGGTAGTCATCGCCTTTGATCTTTCCGTACGCAGGAATCAAAACAGCCGTATCAACTTCAGCATACTTACCACGCTGCACATGGACGACTTGTCCGTTCATGGCGGTGTTAGCCATGAGGTAAGCAGCACAACGAGCTACTACAGAGGCAGGTTGTACGTCGACGTTTATGCTGTTCAGCAAGCTCTTCAAGGATGGGACAACGTTGCTATCCGTCCAGCTGGGTGCCAAGGTGTTGACCCGGATCGGAAGTCGAGCGGCTTTAAGCAACGGGACAAGTCCTCGCCCAAAACCGAGCACTCCATGTTTGGCAGTAGCTAATACGTATCAGCCAGCGTAAAGCGCGCTGAGAACACCGTTCCCCAACTTACCATAGTCAACGGCCCGAAAACGCTGGAGACTGGTCGCGGATCCCGTGATAACAATGCTTCCTCCCTCAGCTTGCTGTCGCAGATGGTGAATCGCGAGAGTTGACGTGTTGATGACACCCTTGAGGTTAATGTCGAGATTCTGGCTCGATGGTTCCATTAGATTGCCAGCTTGGTCAAGTTGAGTAGACAAGTAATCGGCGCGTGGGCCAATGCCGGCGTTGGCAAAAACATGATCGATGCGGCCATATGTCTCCTTCGCCTTATTAAACAGCACAAGTAACTCTTCCCATTTAGTTACATCTGTCTTGATGAACTCATATGCGCCTGCCATTTCCTTTTTTGGAGCCTGGACATCACCGTTGACTACCGAGGCTCCGATTGACAGAAGTAGCTCCACGGTAGCCAATCCTATACCAGATGAACCGCCTATTGAAAGAGTTTTAATGTTAAATGAGGCCGAAGTAACTAACGTGTGTATAGCCAACCCATTTATGAGCATGACTACCTGGGGATGCGAATGGGGAGCCGAGACGAGCAGTATTTTGCGTACCTGTGACGACGATAACATTACCCTTGAGGGCAGTCAAGTCCTCATTTTCGAAAACAAATTCAGCCATATTTCCTGAAAAGCCTTTCTATCTCAATGTGAGTAGATGAGAAAACAAACAAGCTGCCAGATGGTTTTTCGTTGATGGTGAGGGTCGAAGGAAACTTAAAAGTACAGGAATTCCACGCGGCCTCACGGACAAGGAAATACTCTCAGGGTAAACTGGGAGGGTACAAATGTAAAGGCAAATTATGGACTGACTGGTTGGACTGATGTACACAGATCTGTCTTAGAAAGTCCATATGTGGCGGTAGACTCTTGGTCATTTTCCGCTATATGGCTTTTTTTATGAGTCAATGTGATAGGACATGGCTGCTAAACCTGTCCATGCCATAATGTCTTCATTACGGTCCACGCCGGCATGTGAACAAAGACAAGCATGGAGGACCAGAGAAAGGGGCTTGCTAAGCCCATTAACTGGTGTTTGGCCACCTATCCAAGCCCTTGAGCTTTGAAAACAGTATTCGCCATAGAGCCTATACGGGCCTAGTTTAAACAGGACAATGGGTATTGAACTTCGGTATGCCATGAAGTCCCCTTGGGTGAGAAGCCACGGTAGGAATGAAGATACTCCACGATTTTCTATCTAAGAGGATGAATACTTCTTGTGCACTGCTAAAGCACATGTAGGGAAAGGCACCATTACTGACAATTAGCAAAATCAATAAATCGCGGATGCTAACTCTCACTCTCAACTTCCATTACAGACTCTGGAATCCACAGTCTGCCAATACGCGTACTAAAACTACGCATTATCCTCATTAAACCTTCACTGCTTACTTGGGCTACTAAGCCTTCAAGTGGCCGTGGCCCATTGTTCACTACAATTCAGGGTATGTCAATGATTACACCCATACTATCAGTGGAAGCACACCCTTTGCCCTGTTTTATCACTGTAACTGCATCTTTCATCTCGCCTGATCGTTCTATTTGATCTGAGCATTATGATATGCTGCAGAACAAGTTTACCTGTTTTCTCCTACTATATGTACACAGTCTCGCCCGCTGTGCCCGCTCACGCCGATCACTGTTTTGGTCCTTGTCGAGGCGCATAAGGCGGAGGCGGAGGAGGCGGCTGCCTTCCATCTGGAATTGTGCACTCATCTAGAGTATTCGCGGAGACCAGTTCGTATGTTGAGAGCGCCGAAGTTGGTCGTAGATCAGTTTGACATGCACGATCGACGTGTCGCGGCATTGTGAGGACGTTAACTGATATAGGGATGACTTGAGAGGAGGCAACATCTTCTCTTCCGCTATTTTTGGTGCGGCTTGATCCGTATCTTGTTGTATACATCATATTTGCCTGTTGACTTGGTGCAAGATTGTCTGCCTCATATCTTTGAGTATACATCCGGCGCTTCTTCTTAAAAGGCCGCAAATTGATCTTCTTCCGTCGGAATGCATTCTTCACCCTTCCCTGGGTTGAATGATACTGGTCAGTCCAGCTATTACCGTCAAAGAGATGTGATAGCCGTGAGACGAGCGGTGCTAGACAAGACGAAGACATGTTGCTGCAGGGCCACAACAAATTCTGTCGACCTTGGTAAAATGGCTGAGGGAGCCGCATCAGCGAGTTGGCCTTTTATCCAGGATCGAGCTGGATACAGCTGTTATGGCCGCCTGTCTTGCGCCCGGAACGGCCGTTGCCGGCTCGATCGTAGCCTTGTGAATCCTTTTCTCATTTTTCTTGTCCTTCCGGAACTGCTGCCAAAAATGGGAAACTTGAACCCAGTCGTTCTAATCAAGGAGCCTTATGTATAGCTACCTTAAGCCTGGTTTCATTCTCGCCTCATTTGTAAGAAGTAATGGGCTTGGGATGCGAATTTCGGTCGTGCTATGCGATTATGATACGTTCTGATACATGAATCAGCTAACTCTGGGCTATGCAGATCAGGCTATTGATACCAATCTCATATATAGTACACAATTTAATGAAGCATCAAAGCTGATTCAAACATGTCGGGGAGGACGTATGAATCTGCCGACATATCGATAGAACTGGAGCTACTACTCTGAATAATTCGGGTGGCTTTCTATCTATACAAGTTTTGAACACTTCTACACTATCTTTACACGTACCCAGGAGTATAAGCGACTGTTTCTAACTTGGTACAATCATGTATGTATTATTCCAAAGATGTTCTTTTTACCCAGAGCTCGAGCTGCTTCAGTCTCATAATGAATGGGAAGGAGATGTATGGATCGCAAGACCTTGAATAGAAAGGTTTGCTCAGGTCGAATGAGAGGCAGGAGTAGGAACATGACTATTAGGGATTGAAGGCCTGATGAAGACGATGTATGCATCTTCGGTGTAGAGCTTGCATTATGAATTTCCTGCTGACAGACCATGGGCTACAACTCCCAGCAGCCATTTTTGTCAGAATCTGAAAGACGTATGCCACCTTCACGACTATTTGGCAATGGCTTGTACTATTGAATCCAATTTCGGTTATACTTCTAAGTGGTATTCTCACTACACAAAGATATACGAGAAGAGCTTCACCCAGTCTAGGACCTGGATACAGGATAGTAAGAGACTGAGACAACACCTTTAGACCAAAGGCACCCACGATTTCAGTTTGTTCTGTGTGGATTGTGATCATTTACGTCCCATCAGCGCCGTGTATGACAGAATGGCCTCCATGGAGTCTCTACCCTTTAGTCCGATGTCGTGATCCCCGCCCAAAGATCAGACCGAGGTTCATCTGGCCATCTTCGACGACGGCAATTCTTCGCAGGCTTCAAGCACGGGCGCTGCAATTCCGCTAACACTTATAAGAAGAACTGCAGTAGTATTCCAGCTTTGCGGTGTTAATTTCGCCACGAGCGCATCCAGCGGTCTCATAGTCATTGGACTTCCTCAATTGACCTCAGATCTCAATATACCGCAGTCGCTCGCCTTCTGGCCATCATCAGTTCAAGGGCTAGCCACAGCTTCGGCACTGCTACTCTCAGGCGCCGTCGCTGATGTCTTGGGGTCTCGATCCGTAAACCTATCGGGGTGCATACTCAACGGCGTGCTCATGTTGTCCTGTGGATTTATCAAGAGCGTTCAACAATTGATTACTATGAGGGCATTGCAGGGCGTTGCCATAGCGATGCATTTCTCCAGCTCTGTGGCTCTCGTCGCTGACACTTAGCCCCGTGGACAGAGCCGAAACATATCGTTCGCTTGCCTGGGTTTGAGTCAGCTGCTAGGCTTCACCTTTGGCCTTGTCATTGGTGGCGTACTCGTTGATACTGTTGGATGGCGCTCGGGATGGTATCTTTACGGAGGCGCTACCCTGCTCCTGTCCGCCGTTGGTCTATGGTCACTGCCAAAATCTGAGCCGCTCGGTTTCCGGAACACCTTCGGTGAATTGATATCCAGAGTCGATTGGATCGGAGCACTACTTGCCTCGGCTTCCATAGCCTCGCTTTCCTATTTCTTAGCGTAAGTTGAAGTATTTCCAATTGCAACCAAGATGGTACTAACCAGATCAAGGGTCATCAGCACGGACGTCCATCGTATCAAGGAGACTGGGACTATTATACTCCTATGCTTCAGCTTGGCGACCCTGCCACTGTTTGTTGGTTGGATGCATTACCGAGTAAGAAGAAGCATGCCGGCTCTAATACCTAATTGCTTCTGGAGCAACTCTGCTTTTGCTACTATATGTATTGCTGTAGCTTTATCGTTTGCGGTGCTGAATTCTCTTGATCTTCTTACAAGTCTCTAGTAGGTGAACGGTCAGAACGTTTTGAGTGAAAGTTTTTCTGACTATACACCCCAGTTTTCAAGAGATCCAATATTTGTCGGCTGTCGAGGCTGCAATACGCATCCTTCCCAGTACCGTCGTCGGACTAGGTCTTAATCTGATGACCGGTCTCATCGTGCACAAAATACCTGCTGTCTGGCTTGTAGCGGTCTCGTCACTACTTTCCTCGGGATCCCCCCTGCTTATGGCCATGATCAATCCTAGTTGGTCCTATTGGGTCGGTGCTTTCTTCGCACAAATCCTTCTGCCATTTTCTATCGATGTGCTCTTCACCGTCGGACTCATTATTGTTACTGAGGTTTTCCCCGAGAAGAATCAGTCCCTTGCTGGCGCTGTCTTCAACACGGCAGCGCAGTTTGGGAACGCTCTGGGGTTGGCTATCGTTCAAGTAGTCTCCGCAGGGGTGTCAAACCGAAACATCAACCTAAAATCCCCCGAGGCTCGCTTGGAAGGTTACCGTGCATGTTTCTGGACTCTCTTTGCCCTAATGCTTGTTTGCGTACTTGTGGGAGCACTTGGGCTACGGAGAGCGGGCAAGGTTGGGTCGAAGCGTGATTGACATAATCCTTTGATCTGGACCGCTCAATCCATGGGCCGTCTTATTCCACACGTCTTATAGTTGAAACCATGGTGGAGTGGCTAAACAACGAAAGGGTATGATAGGTGCAGGGTTTGATGGAGCCTGTTCAGAGAGCAGATATGACGAGTATCTCCTTCAAAACATGATAGTTTTAGAGGGGAGACATCAGTAGGGGTAGATGTTATGTCTCAGCTAACTAGGCATCCTTTCCGGCTCGACCTTGTTCACATAGCTTCATGTCGCCAACGGCGGCTCATTACCCCAAGCCTCGTTAGGCGTGTCCCGTATTCCTGAAAGGACCAAGTAGAGGCGCGTGACGTCTGGATCTTGGTCGCTCACAAGAACGCCATGGATCTGTCGCTCTGTTTCTCATGACGCTACGCCCTGGTGTTTGGGGTGAGAATCCTGGTTACTTCGAGGAAGGATATTTGGTAAGAAATATGTGTACCTAAGTATCTCTCATTATAAATAACAGCAAGTTGCCATCATCTTCCATCCATTTCCTCTTCTGTCCCATCTTGGTCATCTTTCCAACATCTCTTTTCAGACAAACAGATGCCGATGAAAGTCATCCAGAAACTCCTTCATCACCTTATCATGCGAAGAATCAGTAAAGTCTCCACCGCTACTACCGTACCATTTGCACAATGCAAAGATCGTCATTTTAGCAAGACTAGAGAGAAGAACAAGTCGCATCGGCCTGAGAGGAGGCTGTCCCAACGAGAACCCAAATTTACGAAGCGTGCTAAAGAGTCTGAGCGAGGGATCATGGGTGACTAGTTTACTGACACGAGCGACACCACGCAGGAAATCGGCCATGAGATCGAAGAGAAACTCAGACGTATGTGATTCCGTGGATATTGAAGCGTAGTTCTAATAGTTGTACAGAGAAGTGCGGTAGCTTACTCAAGCCCAAGAACTGTCCCACTTTCCCCCCGAGGTGGAAACGAGTCCCCCGACAATGACGACGATGATGACTTGCCAAGCATTGAGGAAATCTATAAGGGGCTTCAACTGAACCGAAATAAGAAACGGTTATCTAGAGGTGACTAGTGAAGTGAAAGGGATAGATGGTGTTTTTCAGGATTTAACAGTGTTTCTATGGGATTTGGCTGTCATAACTTGGTCATATGAGCAGCGTAATAACGCACTATTTCACAATCCTGCAATCTCTCCTGAATGTTTTTTATATACTTCATGAGGAATAGTTACCACCATTTGTAGTTTCTGTGCTTCTTTGTAGCCCTTGGAGCAGGAATTCAAGACAGAACAACTACGTGGTAGAAGACATATGTAAGATAATATATGGATTAGAAACTGAATTGTCACGAAATTCTAAGGTAATATCATGGAGATCGAATTACAAACTTTCATCATTAGTAGCTGTGTACTAGGCGTGATTGAACGGTGAGCTTGTTGGGTAAGATAACTTTCTAGCAAGACCTGACCAAGGTGTTGAAAGCCCTCGTCTGATACACCTCTGACGTCCAAAAAAAAAAAACACTTCAATCGACAGTATATCAGTACGAATGTCCTGTGCGCTGCCGACACTAGCAGGTGACTCATATTGTATCGTACAGCCATGTTAATGGCCTACAACTTCCATAAACAGCAAAGGTAGAAGGCAATGTTCCGCAGGCTTTCGGAAGGCTATTCACATGTCCAGTCTCGGTTGTACCGATCCTGAATCGGCGGTAGGCCATAACTATCTCTTCCAATACTATTCACTTCATTCACGCAAGTCAGCCTTTATTCCGACATTGTGGGCTTCAGCATGAGGTCTTTGTGTCGGACGGCAAACCTATAACTTGTCTTGGCTTTATCATAACAGCCAAAAACTGTACATATAAGGAGTCGCTCAATCTGACTTTTGGCGCAGCTACACGTGCGAATATGGATGAAATCAATCATAGTGCTGTACCATATAACTGCCTGATCATCTATATTGTTGAAACGGACGTGAACTCTTGAGGCAGCCGCTTGGCATATATCTGCCTCTCCATAGCAATGCTCCCAGTTTCTTCAATCTCCAGCTATACCCATTTCATCGCTTGTAAGAAATAAGAATGCGAGGAGCGCATTTGAAATCATTCTCCCAGTCAGGAAAGAGCATACACAAGTTTCTTCAGGTGAGTAAGATCGTCATTCATCGACTATCAAGCAACCCTGGGTCAGATCCTTGTCGAAGTCACAGCTGCTAACATCTGCCAGCCACTTTCAGTGGTCCACAAGGCCAAAGAGATGCAGCTCCTGACCGCTAATGATGATCTCGCTCAACTGACAGGTGGGAGACCCCTCGATGACATTTCCAACATGCCATCAGACGATCGCCGCGCTGTACTCTGTAAGTACTTGGTGAAGGAGGATCCAGTCGTGGTGCAAGAACCTATTGCCTGGTCAGATGAAGAGAGAATTGGAAGGTTTCTTCTTCTAAAAAGATTCCTCAATAACGATGAGTCTCGACGGCATCTTCTCCTAGAAGCTCGAAGGGTGTTCTATGAGGAGAACTCATTCATAATCTCGTTGAGCGGATTCTCTCGCTTCTTAGATGATATGCTTGGCGATTGGGAAGATGCTGTTGCGGTCGAAATGCTAGTGCGCGACCTCACGATCAAGGTGGAAAGGCAGGACTGTCAATGCGGGCAATTGATGGAATACATCCAGCGCCTCTCTTATTTTGCCAAGATGCCACAACTTCAAAAGATTACAATTGAATGGTATACGCCACCGAAAGATGTGGACGACGGTTTGCCTTATGACTGGAGTACGCTATCCAGTAGTAACAGTAGTAAAGGAACCAGCTTACACAGCGTCACGGACGATGATGGAACTTACGAGAACGAAGGTTATAATGAGACTTTGAGATGGGAGACTTCGGACGATGATATCTGGAGCCTGGATGGAGATGTGCACCGGTGAGCTGCCATATAAGACATTTGGATCAGGAGGTGGATACATGTCATCATCAAGTGTATGAGACAATTTCATAGTGCAAGTATCCAGAAACAAATTAAACTCGCAGGCTTCCATGTGACGAGTTTCTTTTTATGCTATGTGTCAGTGTATATAGCTGTCTACTATAAATAAGTTGGTTACACTCCTTTTAACGGCGTCTCCTCGTGGAGAAAGAACAGAAACATGAATGGATCACCACAAGGTCTGCAATGTATCCATCTCCGAGCATCCGGGTAGCATATATGCTGACGGGACCAGAAGAAATGCCTTTCCGTAGCTCTTTTAATATGCTGAAGCAATCAACTGGTACTAACAGGGACTAATTGATACTTGGTTGGGGATTACTAAGATTGTAAGAAGCGAATCTAGCCCAAGTAGTCACTTGCACAGTTACTCAGGAAGGGTGGTATAGGAAGAAAGTAATCCAACCAGAGACTTCCAGATATACGCCTCGCTAGCATGATGAAAAGCCTGTCCATGGGTCGTTCTAACGGTTTGTTTCCTCGAACCGTCGGTTTTGTCATTTGGCCGCCATACTCCACTGTTGTATATCAGTTCATACTGATATGTGACAAGTCGTCTGTTTTTTTGGTATTATTAGTAAAAGTCTCTTTTAGTCATACCTCTTACTCCCTTCTTTAGCCTGAGAGCTTCTAAGCTTTAACATTACGAGCATGACGGCTGACTAGTTGCTATATCGATCTATCCTATGGATGCCATTGATCATATCTAAAACTATCGTTTGGGGCATATCTCACACGATTATCAGAATTGTCAATAAAACATTCCGAAATGAAGAACTCTCTCTGAAGATGAATCGTGTCACGGTTATTCTGAATGGTGTCTTGTTTCGTCCCTCCTTCGACTCGAACTTTATGGTGCAAGGCCTCATCATTCACATGATCAAAGCTCGGTGAGACACGTCTGGATTTCATCGCTCTCAATAATGGCCAAATGGTTGGCAAACACCCAGCCACAATTCCCAGAGTTGCCTCTATAACCGTCCATTTCGCAACATCTCTATATACGAGTGAGTGAGCAAGCATGAGATAACAGCAAGTGAATGTAGATCTTACACTGTTTCATAGAGAAAGTCTTGAGTAAGATCCAACATCTTGATATAGGGAATGCGGACAATCATTGCCGCGCCCGCTCTGTCATATCCATGCTGTCAGCCAGGCAATGAAGTTTGAATTGGCACCAATCCGGCTCCTCCTGTCCTCGGAAGTAGACCAATGAGTATTCTCATCGTTGTCAATGGACTAGGCGAGTTCTAGGAGGAGAGCTTCTTAGGCATACGAGCTCATAAAGCCGTAACACTAACAATACTTTCAAGGTAAAGGAAAAACACAAAAATGCAAAATAACACTCACAGTACGCCTAAGCTCGTCAAAGCTTGGATCGCAGCTTTGGTTTTCCACGGCAACCGCGCATTCCATAGGCTCATAATGGGTACTACTAGAGCCAAGGTCCAATCGCTGAGGGCCAAAACGATGCTAAGAACTATACCAGCGATGGGTACGATGCTCTTTGAACACTTGCCAGAGCTGACGGGATCATTGAATTGCCCCCAGTAGTAGCCAACGGGAGAGCACTGGAAAATGCTGGTCAAGAAAAACACAATCGATGTAGCCCAGACGCAGACAAGGCAGATGGTCAGAGTTATTTTAAGGAAGGGTCTATTGACGGTCGCCCCTTTTGATGGTTCGCCGATGTAAAGGCGATGGAGATACAGGACTACCGATGTTTTGGTGAAGCATGAAAGTGCGGCGTATATTAGTTCCCCGAAATACCAAGTTTGGAAACCTTTGACAATTTCTACCCTGTCAATGCCGTCCGCATGTTGTCCAATTCCGCCGTCCACTATGCCGCGTATTATCATGATAACCTGGGCAGTATAAAGGAACTGAGAAAGTGGTCCCCAGTTAGTGTCATTTTGTCATTATCCAGGGGCAGAAAACCTCATGTAGGGGGCGAATAGTGCAGCTATGCGCGGTACACCTGTCATATTTAGAACGTGAACTTACCACTGACATATACATCAACTTGTCGTGTATTACATGCTCTTTCATAATGACAGATTGTGCCCAGAACCGTAAACATGCCGAGAGGTAGACAAGTATGGTACAGCAGATCTGGATAATGAAGAGCTCGAGGGCTTTCTCACTGGTATTCCAAGCCATCCTATTGTTGGGGATAGATAGCGGCTGGGCACGCTTTAAACAATATCAAGAGGTTATCCAGCAGTCACGCCGCAGTTGGGGGGAGAAAATCAAAACCCTTCCGTACTACGCTTGCGGTCTAGTGATGTAGGGGTGGAGTACTGTCAGAGTGAAGTCTTATAATAAGACTCTGACCAGGCAGGCTTATTTTTCTGCCGATTTGCGCATCGCCGTGATTTTATAGATCTTTGGACAGTCACGTCAAATATCCGACGACGAACCCTTCAAATTTAAGCTTTTTCCTTAGAAGAATATTGGCCAAAATGGGCCGATTTCTCATATCCAATATTTCCAATGTTTCATGTGTTACCATTTGAGCTTTTAGCCTATTTCTCCTAGCCTCTATAGGATCAAGCTTTGCCGCATCACTTCTGACCTAGTCATCGCGGCATTGTAGCTATCAACGTCGTCAACTTGAATCGAGTTGCCAATTTTGTCTGTAGCTAGAAAAAGGACAACGGCAAAGATAGAGAAGAGGGCAAGGGCCAGCACGCGTCGCGAGAAGAGGTAAAGAGGCCGCCAGCGACGCGACTGGCGATGTGGGGCGAAGTGGGGAAGATATTAGGAAGCTACTTTCTACTTGGCAGACACCGAAATGATGAAGAAGCGTACATCACTAACTAGTAGTATTAACGAAGCTTCTCATTGGACAGACTCACAGACACTCTCGGGTAGGCTGCCAGGCGGGTCCCAAAATATTCGGCAGATGGTGACAAAAGTAAATAAGCAGGTTATCGCTAAAAGTGAGGGTATTGGTGACCAAGTATTCATATCATTATCCTCTCACCGAGAGCTTGGAATCCCGATTCTACTGGGACCCGACTGGCTGCAAAAGGACATTAACGGAGCAAGATCGCTTTTTAGACTTGGCGACCTCGGGACTACAGGGCTCAGGGCGTGGAGATTGGCGTCATAGATTAGAAGAGTTAACTACCCTAGGCCGTCTCGGAGAGATTAATCTTGATCTTGCCATTTTCGGTCCCGAGCGGACTGTAACCGATGAGACAAACGAGGCAGGTAAGGGCTGATTGATAATTAATATAATTTATTTTTCAGATTTTGTGCGATTGACGGCATGGGACATTGAATGCGTGTAAGATTTATTTATGCTGTGTAACTGAAATTGTGGCAAAATTCGTCATTTGGCTTGAATGCTGTGTCGTCGCACACAAAGCCTTGTGTTGCTGTTTTTCTTGCCAAACCTGCCAAGCTAACTCCATCACTTCCCGCCCAAAAAAACGCGATCACACTAAAATATGCCGATAACCAGGAATTTAAATTCTCACTACGAGAAATTAATCCAACTACCCGGTCAACAGAACATGGTTGAAACTAAAAGAGCAATCAGATCATGATCTCCGATAATCATCGGGCATCGATATTCCATATCGAGACTCTTGCATTCATGTTTCAGTGTCTGTCTCAGTTTTTTGGTCATTATGTCCCCTCTGCCGCGGTCGGGCTAGCTCCGGTCGAGATTCTGGCCTCTTGAATCTCAGCGTCAAAAGGCGGGCACCAATAAACTGCGAATGACGATCGTTTTCTTGCATCTCACTTTTTTTAAGGCTCGGATATGAAGGGCCGATTGTAAGAAGCACGGGGAGTGTACCCGGGCTTATCTGATCTGGTCTAAATTGTACCAGAGTACAGCGTGAAGCTAAGCTTAGTCTAAATGCTTAAAACACCATCACTAAATACTTTAAAAAATGGAATAAAAGCATCATTGCGCATTTTCTAACAGAAGCAAAAAAGAGAAACATTAATGGTGCGATTGCCGCCCTCGTACGATTACATTTTCATCCCCCGCAGCCCAGACCAGCCGAAATGCAAGCCTCGAATGCATAGGAAACCCTTGTGTTACACAAAACATAATGGCATTCGATACAAACAGTTTCAGATGATGCTATGAGGTGTCAGAGAATCGTGATTGGCGATATGAGCTGCATTTGCTTCTGCTGGCAAAAAAAAGTCTCGCATCCATGCTCCCGCAGGCCACCAGGTATATATGAAGACCATAATCCTCACGAGAAAGTGAAGATAACCAACTCAAGAACAGTATTTAAAAATTCACTTATCACCGGGAAAAACTACACATCATGTGTCAAAAGATTGACGAGAACGGCAACAAAGTACAACAGCAGAGTGAAAGCTGCTGCATGCAAACTCCAGCAACGTTTACCAGATCTGCAAATGGTTCTATAGATTACTCTCGATATCACGTCGAGGCATTCCCCATCCCTGCACAAGAATCAGAATACGACTATGATCACCGCCGAACAATGACAATCCAATCCCAGCAACGTCAATGGCCTCAGGATATCTGGGTTTACAGTCCATCTGGCCGACAGCTGTACCAGCCTGTGTTGATGTTTGAGATTGAGACGGAGACGACTGTTCAGGATGGCAAGACGGAGACGAACAGGCATGCTTCTAAGAGCTGTTCAGCGTGATGGGATTTTTTGTTAGGGGGGAATGGATGGGAAAATGGGAGGGTATGGAGTACACGAGGAGTTGGGGGTCTGTTAGGACATCGCCAATTGATTGGGATTTATTCTGCATTTCGACAAAAATACAAAAAAGAAACAAGGGCTTTCTACGTCTGTACCATTGGGGTCACTGTACTAGCATGGCGAACACGATTGATCAGAAACAATACATCGCATATTTATTCCCCAGCATCAATTCTCTATCTATCATTCACATCTAGTCAATTCATGCAATGCAATCAACACCCAAACTTCCACTCAACATCGCAGATCTTGAAATAATGAAGGGGTAGCTCACTAATGCGTACTTCGCCGCAGTATCAGTGAAGACTCTTATTCGTCAGATCCTCTACCTAGGCACTCACCAGGTTGCGGGTAGGCTGGGAGCCGGTTAGATCTCCAATTTTATATCCTGTAACGTATCAAATACATTAAATATTATCTCAAATCCAGTACTCCGCCTTTGTTTGGTTTGAAATAAGAATTTGGCATATTTGACAATTTATTTGGCAGTCGAAGGCGCACAGATTCAAAAACTTCCAGTGGAACGGCGCTAACAGCGGGGAGTGGAGACAGAGAGGTAGCCTCATTGTAAGTGAGTAATGATTCATCATGCAAAGATGGACTTAATTGTGCCATGTTGCCGGCTGGCTAGTGTCTCCGTCTGCAGTCCCTATGCACATCATTATGCGATGTCTCTGCGCTCGCCAGAAAGGACCTCAAGCACTCATGATGAACATATACTGGCTGAAGTAAACAGAAGACTGTTAAGAGACTACACACTTTCTACCCAGGAAGATGGCTAAAAAAGTGATTTTAGGCCAAACACAGACAGAGCAGAACAAGTCTGCAGTGGAATCCCCAACAACTGCGATGTCACTCCGCCACGAGTTAGAAGAATCGTATCGTAGGCATGGCGCCATAACACTCAGGCACAGTAAGGTTCAACCGGAGCGACCTTGATCGATAGACGTATAGAGAAGAAAATCGGCCCGATCTTGACCAGAATTTCTGCTGTCTGCGTATATGTGAAGAAAAATATGCTGAAGAAACAATCAGTGATGGGAACTCGTCGTATTGCCAATAATGGGCGTTACTGTAAGCCGTCCAACGTCTTGCATTGGCGGTCAATCCCAGCATACAATGGTTTCTAAAGTCCTTTTTGCGATACCTATCGGGTCTAGCGAGCATAGATCTAGAAGTGCTTTGACGATTTTATAGAATTGGTTGTCCCGATGTTGAAGTGTCACAGGAACTAGATAATCCTACAAGTCAATTCGTCTTTTTGCGAGTTATCCTCGGCTATTTCATGATAAGCAGGATGTTTGATTCATTTCATTGCTTCAGAAACCTTCCGGTAGAGCTACAAATAGAGATTTGGAGCTCCGCCGTTCGTCCTGCAAAGGCAGGTGTACAAATCTTCAGCTTGAGCAGCGATCATAGAAGTCAACCACATGAAGACGGCGTTTCGGAAGCTCCTTGGGTCGATGCCTATTACCTCACCGCTCCCAAGTGGGCTTTTGGCCCCAAGTCCAGTCGAGTCAATGGCTTCGACGAAATCACAGTTTCATGGACTAAAAACAACCTTTCGACGTACCTGATCGACTCGGGTCTCTGGAGTGCCTGTAGGCAGTCACATTGTGTCATGAGAGATATACTCGGCCCCACCAAGCCCATAGCCATCCGGAAGAAGGTGAGATGTGGCCGTTCGAATGTCGAGGTCGACGCACCAGAGAGCGACTCTTCCCAGCAGCGCAGTATTATCGTGTCTCCAAGCCAGGACCTCTTTATTCTCCAACTAGATGACCCTGACATGTTTAGTCGGTTTTTGTTTGAAGATGTCATTCCGAACAACACAGCCCAGGGCTTGCTACAGATACCGCACGTAGGCTGGCAATACCACCCATCATGGGCTTCGAGCCTCCACGAATCCTCCCGGATCAGAAGCCTTGACTCCTTATGCTGTTACATTGTATATGGTGCAAGATTTGGGGGTCTGGAAACGCTATGGCTCATCAACTACCGCATCAAGCGAAAGCATTGGGTATCATCGAAAGCGGAATTCGACGGGCCAAAGCCCAAAGTCTTCAAAGCAGACGAGTTTCAGCTCGTAGAGGTGGAAATCGACGATGATATTCGTTCATCAGAGCAACTGTCATGGGACGAGGTCCTGGAGAGGGGCGATCCCTACACTCTGGACGATTTTCTTGCATTTGTGAGACTGCTCCGGCAGTTAGTGACCCATACACTTCTGTCCACTCCAGCTCTACAGACTGCCAAACACATCATGAGCATCAAGGTTCTAGCGTATGAAGATCTTTAATGATTGATCGGCATAATGTGAAGGATGGATCTCCTGAGCTTTGTGGGCGATATGGTAGTTCATGCCTTTGCTTTCGAGGCTTAGTCCGCTATCCCGGCTTATATTTAAAAGGACATGAAGTTACAACTAGTTATGGACCCTGTATGATAGTAAATCAAGGACATGCCTGCATGAGCTCACCCAATGCATGCACCATAACATCCAATCCATCCAGTAGCGGATCACGGTATGGCGCCTGAAGCTTAAACGCAATATGTATCAAATGAAAATATCTAGGTGTATTTGCTTAGAACACTTTACCGTTTGACGAAGTAGTACAATACGCAATGGTTGCTATATGTCCCGCCCGCTTTCGGGCATATATGGTTGATGTTCTCAAGTACTCGACGGCATGAATCCATGTCTTTCGCCCCAATGGAATAGTTTGGACAGGAGGGCAACACCTGCATTCCAATAAACGTGTCGCCGTAGGGTAATGGTTGGATGGGATGCGCTGCGTCAAAAGTAGCATCCTGGAGTCTGTCACAGAACGACCTGGCAAACCCAATCCTGGATGTTGGACTTGAGACAAAGTTAGATACCGATGGGTGGGTTTCTTCCCAGCACAAGATAGGGCTGTCTGTGCCTGTCGCCGCGTGTGGCTTTGTTCGTGTCTCAATAGTGGCGGATGTCCCTACTGTTTTAGAAACTTCAGTGGTCGTGACAGACGCTGCTCTTGGTATCAGACCGCCACCAGAGGCTTCCGTGTGCACCGGTGATTGAGCCAGTTTAGATACAGACGGGTTATGGCTAACTCCTCCAGATGTTGAAGATGGCTGATGGAAGACTTCAACCGTTTCTGACTTGGCACCATGAAGCTCCAACGTTTTTGGGCAATTGTCAGACCACGAGGCTGGTGGAATGAGTGCCATATTTGCATGGTAAGGGATCTTGTATCGCTTTCCAGGAACAGCCGCCATACCGACATCAACACCAGGATTAAGGTTTGAAATATCGTCATAGTCCAGCTTAGGCAGAGCTTGCCCCAACGTCTCGCTTAGTTTAGCCCTGTCCTGCGAGATCCATATGGCATATTTGGAAGTGCAGGTGGCTCTTGCCAGCGAAACATACCAGAGCCATAGAACTGCCTTCATATTTTAGGTTAGATGGTTTGAGGGACCTAGGATCTTGCGGGTCTCATCAGATCCTATATAACTTGGGGCCAAGCCTCTTCGGGCCTGTTGCGTCAAATTTAGTTGAGAAATTGGAAAGCACAGCGAAGACGAAATTAGCAGCTCTTCCATTGATCACACTGAGCCTTAGCGTCTACAAATACAGACAAGCACAGGAGAGGTCACTATTGGCAGTATGATATTATACTTATTTCAGCTAACATGCACTGAATGTAAGACGTACAATTCCACCCGAAGCCGGTCAACCGAGCAAGCGTGTTCTGGACATAACGTATTTATTAAATAATTTTTTTTTTAAAAAAAAACCCAAAACCCAAACCCCCCCCCCCCCCCCCAAAAAAAAAAAAAAAAAAGAAGGAAAAAAAGGGAAAAAATAAGAAATAGAAGAAAAAGAAGAAGAAGAAGAAGAAGAAAGAGGACGCAGGCCAGGGCCTTATTCAAATTTATGATAATGATCGCCATACTTTTCCTTATGCTTGCGAATTATCATGGCACGCTGCCTTTCATGCTTGGCTTTTCCAAGGTCAACATGTGCCGTCTTATATCCAGCACATCGCATCTGGACTAAATCCGGATTCCAACCCAATATGACGATCTAGACTTTTAGTACATACTATCTGAGGAAGCCAAAGTTAGTGACAATACAGCAGCAGGTATAGAAATTAGCGACCGCATAATTATGGGTCGTTTCGGTAGTTTCTAAATTCGGCAAGACGTTGACTCCGAAAGCTTGAACTCATTCTATCATCACAATCAACACTGCTTAATGAGGTCGCAATGCTACCAGAACGGACCAGTCATCTCTAAAGTACATACCAGCAGACAGTTTCTGGCACTTTCTAGCCGTGAAGTGAGTAGCTTCGAAATGCCTTAGCGCGCGCACGGAAAATGCATATATCGATTGATCCACTATTTCTAACTCAATTCTGAGAAGGTCTACTAATATGCATATTGGCACCAAAATTAGATCACCGTATAGAATCTACGCCATCTAAAGTGAATATGACACAAAGAGCGTAGCCGTAACGTCACTAATCTTCCGCTCACAGGCCTGTTACGTAACTCATGATAGCTGGTGACTCATGCGCACTGGGTCAATGAACTCAAATGGAAGGAACTCTATGCATAGACTGTTCGATGCTATTTGATCCAAACTTCTTGAGCTGCCTTGACTTGTTGGGAAGGTTACTTTAGAACCTATTGGATTCTCTGCCTAGTTGAGCCCTGAACAAACATAGAATCGAAATTGATCGTCGGTCATGTCGAACTCAGCCTGAAAGTTATATTTATCAATGTTGAAGGAAGCAACAGGCGTGGGTCCTACTAATATGGCCTCGCACAGTCCACGCGCATCTTGAAGCCATATACGCAACATGTCGGTTTCGTTTTGCAACCGATTTTCAAATTCTTTAATCAGTGGACCCTGAGCGTCCTCTGACAACCGATAACCGCTAAAGTCATTTCCAAATGCACAAAGTGGTACCAAGGGCCCCAAGCCGTGTTTCATACCAATATCACTTACCTTTTTCCAGAAGTTACAACTCCATAAATCTCTCTTAATGCGTTTCTCAGCATCCTCCCCCATCGCTGATTTCATTTCTATTATTCGCTCGTTATCTTCCGTCATCCAGTGGAAAAGGACAGCGTGGTAGCGACGATGAAGATTCCCACTGGTCCTTGAATACCTAAGAAGTGCCCTGAGAACAACCGGATCATCTGCAAAGGACACTAGGGCAGATCGTTTGAAGTGGATGGCATGTGAGAGATTATCTAAAATAACTTTACGATCATCCAAAACTCGCTGTAGACGCCCTTCTGCTCTCTCACTTGTGGCCCTTGGTTGCGATCTTCTCTTGCGCGACGTGTTGGCCGGATGCTGTGGCTGTAAACTGGAAAGTCCTGGGGGGCGGTCAGGGTCCGTGGCGGGTGCCAGCTCTGGGTTTCTGCTCAAAGCGCTGACTTCTTCCGCTTGACATATTACAGGAGATGCCGAGGAAATGGCCCGAGTTGCACTTATTGTCGCAGCCATCGCATCTTCGAAGAAGGATGATTCTTGTTGTCCATCAGTTAACGTATGTCCGTGGCTTATCTGGTCGGCGGTTGAGGATAAGTATCCTGTATCTATCACTTGGTCTAAATTGATATCACGTAGGTCTGTAGAGGTTGACTGAACCTTTTGACAAAGAAGTTCGATAAATATACAAGAACGGAAAGACTGGTTGAGCTCATCCGCGACCCTTTGGCTTAGATGAGGTTTGCGCTGTAATATAAGCTTGATGCCCATAAGCATGAACACGCCTGAATCTGCCAGGTTGTTATTCTGAGGTCCCCGCCACCCTTCTACGACGGGTCGCGCACCGGTAACGGGAGGTACAAGGGTAGCACTATTAGGAGTACTGTCGTACCAGTGGACGCAGTCTGAGTACGCAACAGCAAACGCCCAGTTGTTTTCATGACAGAACGGAATGATGACGGGATGGTCAATCCCTTCTGTCTCTTGAATACAGTTTTGATCGTGCCGTAGCATCCGAGCCGGAGCTATCTCTACATGGTGGCTTGTCGACCTTAGTAGCTGTAGGTAATCCTCCACAATCCCGAAATCAAGGTGGCCACCGCGTACCAGATGCCACATCGACTGGGTGATCCTGCTGCCTTCCGGGGGACGCTTCAATTGCGACAACTTGTTTACACGTTCAGTCCAGGTTTCATCCACCGGACCGACTAAGTCTCGTAAAGACTCGTCGACATCTTCTTGAGTAACTAGTTGGTGAGGCGGAAAAGATGTCAAATCAGTAGAAAGGAGGCTGGAAGTACAGTTTTCAAATCGTTTATGGGCTACGCGGGTGGCTGCCGACATCAGTGCCAGTGACGTTTTGGTGTGTGGCCGTAACGCGAGATGCTGAAAGTGTTGGTAATCATCCATTGGCTCTATGAAACTGGTATCGAGAGTGTTCCCCAACGTGAGTGCGAGGAAGAGTTACCAAACGGGTGCTGATTGTGCCACTTTATATGGCACTGAAAGTGGTTTTTGGATTCATCACTTCCCTGAAGTCGGAAACCGGCCGCGAGGATCCTGTATAGTGCAGAGTAAAGTCCGATATAGCCGACTTTTGGCACCACGAATGGGCTATGAAACCAGGTAAGAAAAACATGTTCGTCGCACTTTTGCTGTTCATTCTGGCCACTAGACTATGACAGGCCACGGCTGTGAGATGTGAGAAATAAGACGTCGTTTTGCAATCGCATCTTGACAATGTTTAGGCTACGTACAGTATGTACACTTGGTTGCAATGTTCAACGAATCCAAATGATTTGTCGAACTTGCCTCACGCGATTTCATTGTTCTGGAAGATGAACCTTTACTGTATTCTATTTACAAAATCTCATGCCCGAGCCACTGTAATTGAAAGTCTCTCCAAAGTATCAGAGTGCAGAATGCAAAATGAAGTTCTCGACAGGAGAGAAGTCCCATTGTTGACTTGTCGTTCATAATTCCAACGCTGCAGAGGAGGGCACGAATCATGATGATGAAGTTGAGATTGGCTGGGGCTTGTTTTATTGAACCTCGAGACCTTAATACAGTCGACTGATTATGTCGATTTCGCCAAGATCTGCGACACTTGAGCAAATTTGATCATGAGACGGTCCTACCGATGGGATGATGGATATGATCGCCTGGCTGAATCTCTCCTACAGTTATCTTTCCTCACTTGTCAAGCCAGTTTAATTACCTTCACCTTGTCAGTTCTGTGCTCTATATTTGCTGAGAGGTAGTCATCACAGGGCCGACAATGAGATCGGTGACATACCAATAGAGTATCGATTAACAGGATATACACATTCTATGGTATCATAGAATGGTATCGTCCACGGTAGTAGCTTGCTAGACTTTTCTACGACGGGAAATGCCATGTCGAGTACGCTCAATGAAGTCAAAGTGTGCCTCACGATAGGCGAGTTGTGGTCCATGCTTATGCAGTGATTCCTCTGTCAATTGACACGGACGGCTTCGAAAGCAGATTCTTGTACAGCTCAGTTATGGGCGTGTATACAGATACAGCCACTTCTAGGAGCAAATGGTCCGGAATAGGCCCAACGACGTGGAGTTCGTATCTATCAGAGACATCCTGAGGCAATTTATGCAGGCATTTCCACATAATGTTCGTCCTTGGAGACATGATGGCGGTGGTTGGACTAACAACACAACAGCGGGAGAGAAAAGGAGGATGGAAAATAGAAGAAAAGAAAATGAATGTCAGACTCGAAAGCTATTCTTACTGATCTTACTATTACAAAAATGAAACTGAAAGGTTATAATATTCTATTGAGAAGAAATATAGCTACAGATATAAACAAGAATACAAAAGAAATATTGCAAGCTATAAACAGAGCAAAAGGTAAAGATTATATAAATACAAGGCAATTCAGGCGCCATGGGATAAGCCTTAGTAGCGTTTACAAATGAAAGGATACTATCGGTTTGATAATGAAAGGAGCGACGACGGAGAAGAAAAGGCTTCGTCCTTATGTTTGACCCGACATCTGTCATGGTTGTTGGAATCGTACTACGGCGGCTAGCAAAACAACGCTTCATCTCGCAAGCTTCTTGGTTCTGTCGCTGTTGTTGATTTTAAAAAACCGCCTGGTCATTACCTTCCATCAATGAGCCACTGCCATAGAGCGAGGTGTGGTTCCCAGTGGTTGCTGAAACCGTCTCATTGTGTTGAACCTGTTCTTGTTTCGGGGACGTGGTGAGCCATTTGGCTCCACCCGCAGGGAGGCGGCACGATGTGCCCTGGGCTGACCCGATGATTTATATCGTGACTGGGTACTACGGCGGGAATCCGTATCAAAACCTTCGTCATCGTCGGGCAGAGGAGTCTCGACAGACTGATAGATCTTTGAACTCGGGCTTTCCTCAACCGTCATCGCCCTAAACTTGGCAAGCTCATCATCAATGGGCGATGGCGACTTGGCGCGATCTTGAATCTCAAACCGCTGCCCAGGATTCATGGCCTGATAGTACTTTTTCTCATACAAAAAGGCCCACTTGAATAGCCTATAGTCCTGGAAGGCATTGTGATTCACTCGACTCCTCCAATCAGGATCATCGCGCGTCTTATACCAATAACGGTATCCGTTTTCCTTGCGGTCCAGATACGTTTGCTTAGCGGACGGATCCCTTGCCTCATAATTATCGCGCCACCATTGACGGCTCACAAATGTGACTGTCTTGTCAACCCATCGAATTCCGATCAATACGGTTTGTCTCCATTTGAATTTGTACGGGTTTTCTGGATCCAGCTTGCACAGAAATTCTTCATAGTTCAATTCGCTCCCAAACGCTGCGACGCCCAGGACGTAATCTACTTCACGCCATTTCTTATCTGCATGTTGGGCTTGATACTTCCTACTGGTTACCGTTAAGACTTCCGCGGCATTCTCGTCGAACTTGCCGTCTTTCAAGGTTTCAATTCGTAAGATGCTTCGGTCACCAATTCTATATTCATTTAGGTATCTCGGCCTTTTCCCTACTTTCACGAGCCCAAGCGTCGTCATATTCTCAGGGCAAGCTTGACTACCGACTAGATCCTTTTCGAGGTCAGGGTCGCCAACTCCATCATCGTCAGAAAAGGGAGAGGCTCTTGTTGTCGTTTGTGCCCTTGGAGAGAAGGGAGCCGTCTTCGCTTTTGCAGAATTAAAACTAAAGACATGATCTGTTTTCGCCTTTTTAGCATTAGGGTCTTCTACTGCTGGACTGAAAGCCCTGGAATTATCGGCTGAATTGCCTCTATCATCGGGCTTTTGTAGACTACGCTTGAAGGGTCGAGCTAGAAATGGGTTTTCGTTAGATGATTGATTGCCATTGTTCTGACCAGTTTGATTATCATTGCTCTGCCCAGCTTGATTCGTAACGTTTTGACCAGGTTGATTATCACTGCTCTGAATAACTTGATTCTTATCGTTTTGACCAGCTTGATTATTATTGCTCTGACCAGCTTGATTCATATCGGTTTGGCCAGGTTGATTGTCATTGCTCTGACCAGTTTGATTCATATCGGTTTGGCCAGGTTGGTTTCCATTGTTCTGACCAACCTGGTTCATATCGCTTTGACCAGGTTGACTGCCATCGGCCTGGTTAGACAAGCCAGAGCTGTCTCCGTTTTCTCGTGGAGTATCGCCGTCGCCAGACATCGTGATGTCGTCATTTGGCGGTTCTTGCTTCAGCTTATCTGGTGTGGAAGTCATGTTGAGGCTACAGCGTAGATGTCTTCTTGTCAGCCCTGAGAATATGTGGGCAGCTCGTTCAACTTATATACATATAACAGCCCTGCGTTAATCAGACAGGAGGCCTATTTTAGCCAGAAAAAAAGGTATTATAATGGCTGCTTTAATTATGCTATCTAAATCATCTCTAAAGAAGTGAATTAAGGCTTCAAATTGCCTACCTGCAGCTACTTATAGCCTGCCTATAGGCAGGTCTAAATAGGTTAATTAGGTACGTTCAAAGGAGAAGCCTAAATTGGATATTTTCTTAGCTAGTTATTAAAAGGACAAAGAAAATTAGCATAACTTGCCTACAGTATTTATAAGTAGAAGAATTGAAATAAAGTTCTAATATATAAAGTAAAGTAACTATATAAATTTAAAAAGTATTTCTTTTATATTTTATATGAATTTATTTTAATTAACTAGATATTTTCAAAAGTACAAACTAGTTTTTAAATAGTTTTCATTTTTCCCTTCATCCTAATTCTGTCAGATCCGAGTCATAAGTACTTTAAATGTAGATTCTGCTTGAGGAGGCTTTGACTTACGAAGACAAAGCAGGGGGTATGGGTCTGATAATTATTGATCCTCTGGAGACCAAGAAACTGTTGATCTTCATGTTCTCAAAGTTTTTCTCGTGCCTTGTTCATAGCATGACATCCTTCAAGCAATCCCAACACTTCACCATAGCTTCTAGCCCTGTTAACATTTACGATCTTGATTCCTTGAAGACAGCCATGGGGGGACACTGCAGCGAAAAGGCATCAGACAAGACTCCGCTTTTACTCACTAAACACCTTGGTGTTGTATTTCTCCGAAAGTCTGCGAATGCGTCGGCAGGAGTTGTCAAATAAACTGTTGCGTATATCAGCCACCTGGCTGGCTCTAACATTTCATTCTTGCCCATAGAAATTGTCGAGAAAAAGGCATTGCAAGACTGTCGGCGCTAATTGGCGCTAATTAGCGTAAGCCTGCAAGTGGCAATGCTCCGCAGCAAGATCCTGTTTGCCCCACAAAACTGGTCCATATATCTCGAATTTTAGAGGGACACGAAGCCAATGAGAGGTTGAGCCTTTGGTGCTGGTTTCCTCACTTAAAGCGTTAAATACGGTGGCTCGTCCACCTCCACGATCGTATGGCAATAAATGGTTCGCGATCGTATTCCCCTCATCAATACCGGTTGTCGACGATCTGAACTTACACTATCTACCTACGCAACGCCAGTACTCGCTGAGGACCGCACGTTCCTATTTCGTATCTATCATGGAAGAAACCATTGAAGAAACCATAGTCTGTGCTCCCACTTCGGTAAGTTAAACCCGCAGTGGCTTGCAAAGTCACTTGAAATGATTTGGACTTCTCTACAACTGAATTAAGGATGTGCAGGCGAGTGAGAGTTCCTGTAAAAGGAGGAGGAAATCAACTTCTATCCCTAGGTCAGTCTCTACCTACGGAGACGATAGACATGGCAGATGTGTGCCGAGGCCAAGACGCGAAAATGCCATAAAAGACGACAAATATTCTCATCAGAAAATGAGAATAGAGCATGCTCAAGACAGGAAACCGTCAGCCCTGCGTCAGTCTTCGCGGCTCTCTCAAAAAACAGAGGATCGAGAATGTCTCCCTGAGTGTTCGCCTGGCATCGTTTCAGGGGATATCTCTGGAAGGATCCAGTGTGATAGCACCGGCGATCGTGCAGGTGCAGCAGATGATGAGATTGTTTCCATTAGGGACTCACCTCACAACCCGTCAGACAGGTCCGAAGCTACGGTTGAAGTTCTAGCACTTGAATCTCAACAGAGGGACGACATGCCCCATATGAGAATCATTCCTCGCCTTCAAGAAGCAGAAGAAGATCGCCTAAAATGCGACCAAAGTTCGACTTCTCCGACATATCATAACGAACACACTCCGAAAACCGCGAACAGCAACACGGGAAACATACCTGCACAATCACCCGACAGGCTCGATACAAGAGCGGTGTCCAAGAAGACTGTGGTAATCTTGGATGATATTTCTGAGCTTAAGATTCCTAATGCATCTCTATCAGTCAGGGAAAAGTATCCCAAAGCTTCCGAGTCCAAGAACGAAATGATAAAGAAAGATGCGATCTCATCATCGACTACAGCAAAAGCGACCTCACTACCCGGGATCAATTCTTTTCTGCCAGACGCATTCACCGGTCAGGAAAGGAAATATGATATCCAGGCCCGTCCCTCCGGTATCAGTCTTAGAGAGCTCCACGAGCGATCGCTTCAACCCTGGTTTACTTACGGAACAGCGAGATGGAAGGAGATGGAAGCACAGATGCTGTCGGTCACAAAGGATGTTGCTCAATTACATACAACAGCAGAGTGTTATTATCTCTGAAGCCACATAAGTGTCCATGGTCAAGCTCTTAAGCGCGGTGATACGGTACTCGCCACCATGAACCCTGTTAATACTCACAATGATTGACTAAGCGATAGGGATCAACGACCAAACCAAAATATACATACGGATTCACAAAAGCATGCTGAAGCAGGTTTAAGTTAATCTAGTCAGTTAGATACAATCAACTACCAATAGACTCCCAACTTCCCGTCTCTTGTTCGTTAGTCGTTCATTCTATATTTGAAACCAAGCAAACCATTCTGCCCTGTCCAGGCCCGCGGTCTTGTTCACCGGAGCCTATCTATCTAACCTTGTTGAAATCTCTTACGGAATATTGGCGTATAGCTGAAATTTCCGCCTTAATAGAGGGCTTCCCCGCAGACGGAAGAAGATAGCTGGTTCTACATCGTTGACTATTTAGGTCGCGACAGCGGTTATTGGTCTCACAGCATACGCGTTCAAGTCCAAATTGAGTTGAAAGTTAAGAGAAGATCCGCATCCGTCTGCCACCTTGTCATTTGGGGTTCTTGACGCCAGAGGCTATTCCATCGGATCCATCCGATTGTACATTTATTGACCAGGGCCCCGTAGAGATTTATGCGTCGTGCCAACATAATATTCTCACCTCTCGACATGCGGTCAGCCTCGCAACTTTGGCCGACTTTCTTAGCCTATTCCGTTTCTCTCTGGATATCAGATGTCTACGCTAGTCGTCTAACTTCTCGTAGCTTCGCGTTCATTACCCCCCACGCAGAGTACTCTAGCTCCGTAGGAGTCTTGGGCTGTAAGGTTGATATGAATCGTATCGCTTACTGGCCTTTGGACGTCAGATGCGATGGAATATGCGTCAAAGTCTCAAATGAGGGGCGCTCCCTTCATCTTCTACGTATTGATAAGTCTGGGGGTGCGTATGATATTTCGTACGATGCTTGGAACTTCCTAGGTTTCGGTGCATCAGCCATCGACGACCCCCTGGTCGGTGGAGGGATCCAAATGTCATACGAGATCGTCGACACATCGGAATGTCGACATTTGCTTCACGAAGGTAAACTTCCCCTGTCCGCCGCCAATAGCATGAATTATGTCTCGTCGTGCATCAGCCAGCCTACGAGCTGGGTCGCGCAGAATTATCAATTGTACAACATCAATGACCCCGTTTGCAAATATGGCGTCGACGAGAAATCTAACCTAGATCTGACTACAAGTAATCAGCCACGCTGTCCAAGCGTTCTAGGTAATCCTCTACAGATTGAATCGAGGGTTAAGAATGTCGCGTACGGTACCGGAGAAATCGTCCCGGTGTAGATGATTCTAGAGGCCCATGCATTGCTTTGACAGGCTGACTGGGATGCGTCATTGGAAGTTGCTGTAATTTGTTATGTCTCTTCTGTATGTGGAGGAATACTTATCTCGTAGGCAAAGAGCAAGGTACAGGGTACGCAATTAGTACAAGGAAGCCAGATATTCACATTAAATAGTGCCTGTGACAAGCTATGACTATTTTAAAAACATGAAACAAGCTAGGTTTATTTCAAGAACATGATACAAATCCCCTAAAATCCATCAAACATACGTTTTTTGGGCTGATTTGTTCCTTACGTGCCTATTCTCCTACTATTTACTCTCATCCAAGTTGAAAGTTGTGTGTTGGATCTAGCAAACGTTATCGATACATGCGCAAAGGCCTTTGAGGGGCATTTTGCCTTCCAAGACTTGTCGGCGAAAACACTCTAGATGCATTAAATGAGCGCCGCAGTCTTTCCAAACGACGTCTTCGACATCTACCGGGTTTTTCTTATTTTCACTGCAAAATCCATCTTCGCATACAAAACAGGTCCGGGTCCCGACAACGCGTTCACGGGCCAACGAGTCTGTCATGATGGTAGGGAGAGCAGACTTAGGGTCGTTATTTTCCTTATGCCTTTCAATGTCCGACATGAGTTCGATGATAGTTCTTCTGAATTTCTCATCCAGTTGCTGCAAAGCCCACAAACGGATGTGTTGCGGAGAGTCATGGATGGTTGTGGCCAAAATTGTGATATCGCTTGCATAGACTACGTTCAACGCGTTACATAGGTTTTCGTCAATACTAATCTCCAAAAGTCGATGATAAACCCTAACTCGATTGGCGTAGACGGTCATCTCACCCCCCAATCCTTGGTTCGGTTGGACTTCATCTCGCATGATATCATGATCGCTGGCAGCAGGCATGGTATTGTAGCCATGGTCCAAGCGCTTAGCTGGTCGGTCTGACTCCAACCCGAGCTGCCCGTTCATCTCCTCCATGCTTCTCTTATTATTAACGGGACTATGCATTATGGCTTCCTCTTGCATGACATGGTCATGATGCAGGCGCTTAGCTGGTCGGTCAGAATCAGGCTCAAGCTGCCCGTTCATTTCCTCAATGTCTCTCTTGTTGCTGCGTGGACCGTCAACATTATCGGCCCATGTAACACCGTGGCCATGATCTATGCGCTTAGCTGGTCGGTCTGAATCAGGCTCGACCTGTCCGCCCATTTCTTCCATATTTCTCTTATTGTTACGTGGGCTATGCATTATAACTTCGTCTCGCATGACATGGTCATGATCCATGCGCTTAGCTGGTCGGTCTGACTCAGGCTCAGGCTGCCCGTTCATTTCATCAATGTTTCTCTTATTGTTGCGTGAACTATACATGTTTGTGGTAAAGTCCGCGAAGCCGGTCCCAATGTCATTTTCCAAACGATGTACGAAAGGGATAGATGTGCCATTCCTAACTTTCTTTTGTGCATGTGAGTCTTTTTGATCATCCGTTGAGTCTCTACTTCTTTTCATCGTGACGTGTCTTTGATTCGCGTTCTTTTTTAATTTTGTTTTAACCTTAATCACTTTGCTGTTTAACCTTTATATATAGCTGACGCCAAAGTCAAAAAGGTCACTTCCGTTTCTGGCTTTGTGGTTTTCCTTGTTGTAACAAAAAACCATATCGATCACAACCATCTTTGAAGCCCGTTCTGGTATTACGGCAGCCTGTACTGGACTGCCTGTTCGTTAGGTATCCTGAATCGCGTCCTTAGTCCGAATTATACATAGAGGTACGTACCAGTCCGATTCCATAGGTGCTAGATTTTGACGGAATCGTCTAGCATATGAATCTACCTTTGAGAATTCATCGGGCGCCTAGACTCTGGTATGAGCCTGTGGCGAGACAGAATATGCTAAGGTACTGTACCATTCGCCTCCATTCGAATGCATACTTTAGATAAAAAAGCCTTCAATAGGTTACCCATCATGTTGAGAGGTTTTCGACATAAGAGCAGGCAAGTTTGGAACAGAATTATACGGTCAACAACTTTAACATCATTTAGCTGATTCTAATTCGCTGTACATTTTGATACATCCTTTGCATCACCTACAGAAGGTTCCGTGTCTCATCAATATTGATGCAGTTACAGAATCCCTAGTGTGACATGCCACACTCTCTAATACCCAGATAAGTATCGCAATATTGGCATCCAGCGCCATTTGTGGAACAAGTCCAAACACAATATGTTGCACCTTTCATGTTCTGGGGAACCTGCTCACGAGAATATAGTATCACCCTAATTCTACTATAATAGCCTGGTAATGCGACCAAGTTCCTATGAGATGGTCGATTTCCAAGGAGTTCCTCTATGCTTGTCCATCACAAATTGCATGCCCTGTTGAATCTGCCAGGCGGCTAAACACTATCTGCGCTACATAGTGTCGTTTCTGCCTTGAATACTTCTTGGCAATAGCTGGTGGAGGTTGGTAAACGTGTTTCCAGAGAGAATTCAAAGTTTCCATCACCACAGCCTCTGTATTATCCCCTATGGATAGGCTTCCGTATAGGATAATCTTGGCGAGCATGCAGCATGATTCGGCAATAACAGAAGGCTTGACTCCAACAAACTCTCGATGGTAAAGCGATATTTCAGACAAATAAGCTGCCATACTAGCGAGTTCCTTATTTCCAGGCTCTCCTACCAGCAAGAACTTGATACCTTGGTCAGTTGTTGGATGACCCAGTACCCAATCTAAGGTACACAGGATTGATCTCTCCATCTGAGCTATCATACGTTCATCAAAGATGCCATCGCACAGTTCGCTTATCTCTTTGGCCGAAGGGTGCTTGAAACTCTTCACTTGGTAGGCTTTGTCGCCATATTTGGAAGCAATCCAGAGCGCGGCACTCCCAAGCAACAAGTAGTATTCTTGGCCAATCTGCTTCCTCGAGCAGTATCGATCAATCAGATTGACAGAAAGAAAAGGAACCTGCGAAGGAAGACGAAAGTACTGGTGTGACCGGACGACAAAATCAATGAGGCTTGACCGTAGTTGCCACGTAATTTGTATTTGCATTTCGATCATGGGAACGCTTGGCAGGGTCACATTCTGCTCGATGTTAGCTATGAAGAACTCAAAACCATTTCTTTTTGTGAGTCGCTACCTCCATGTAAGCAAGGTGCTGCATAATGTCTTCCAGTACTCATCCGCTCCCACAGCAACGTATCTACAGAGCTAGGTACCTGCACTTGATCTTGACTCATGTCAAGAGAATCAGCGCTACGAACAGAGGCTGTCCTGGCTTCTCTGAAAAGTCGATCCGACTTTCCGTCGCTTCTGAGCACATTGTCATTGTTTTGAGTTCCACATTTGGTCATCTTTTTCTGTCCGAAGCTTATTCGTATTTGTTGTTTTGCTTCTCACCTTCTTATACTGATTGAAGACTTTATCAACTGGCAAGGGATTCGGTGAAGAGATTAAAACAGATTTCGCCAACTAAAGTACTTCTTCAAAATGTACGTTACATGATCTCTTTTCGGTCAAAATGTAATGAATTTCACATTTCAAAATAATCGTCACAGCTGACTGGAACTCACGCAACATTGGGGAGAATACAGCTGCAGCCCGAACTGGACGCTGTACGGTGGTCCCTACTCTTAACCAGCTTAAGCAATAATATATCCTCTTTTCTCGGCAAAACGGGCTTGGGGCCAGCCAGTGCCGTGTCCTACATCGGTACAGGGTAGGTGAGGAAGGCTGGTAGCAGTCAAGTGCCCTGAAATGACACCCTAGTTGATTTGCTCATCTCAAGTACCTATCCTAGCATGTCTACCAAACTTCGACTGAGGCTGATAACAACACAAATGTCTTCGAAAATGTATAAAGTAAGCATTCCTAGCTGTCATTATGTGGGCTGCTTTACTTTGTTGATATCTACTAAACACGAATCGAAATTGCATGCGTCCACAATGAAAATGGCCATGCAAAGGATTCGGGTTACTACACCTGTCTGTCATCTCGTTTTGAGCTTCCGGCTAATCTATGACCTAGCTACTATAGATTCAAGTATCGCAACAACTTTCTTTCTTGAACTTCTCACACAATTTTGTCATCTGTCCTTTCTGCACGGAGAGCTTGTCGCAGATGCGAAAGAGCTTCCCGCCCGTATGATAAATAGCCTTCTATGTATGAAAAGCTAATCTTGCTTTAATGACCGACGAGATTGATGGTCTGTTTTGTCTGCACCTGCGGTTTTGTCATCCGTATACTCATCGCTCGCACTGGACGCAAGCGCTGAAGGTTGATGAGCCTTAATGCTACTAAGCTCAGTCAGTCCAATCCATAACCAGGATTGTACTAAAAGTTGATAAAACCGTGAGGAGGATTTGACTGCCTCTCGTGATCTGCAATCATGGTCAGAGAGAAGCTTCCGATGCTTTCTGATAAGGGGCATACTGACCGAGATAAAGAATTGGATACGGATCGATTCAAGACCATTACCAAACCAACCGTGCCAATGTAGACTGCCACTGCCCCAGGGAGACCGGATGATTCTATAGCCAAGACAGCACCTAGGAAAACTGACTGGGCGTATATGGTAGCTTGAGATTGAACTTTGGTCAATCTAATTCGTTTAGATGCAAAGATGAGCAACCGGGTATAGAGGAAAGCGTGCAGTAGTTTGACAACAGCTCCATGCAAACCGGGGTCTTTGCCAACGACCGCAATGACCGCTAGTATGGGTCGTATGATGGCGGGCGCCTGGTAAGCCGCCCGTGTCGTTTCATTGCCCCTCAATAATGGCCTGGCAAGTCTCAGAGTTGTCACGGAATGGATTAAACACAAAATTGTGTCCACAATGTCCGGCAGGACAGTGCCCTCGATCGCACGTAGATAGTACCTGGCCAACTCGATGACACCAGACAGTATATGCAGTGTCAAGGTAAAAAACCTTTCCTGGTGCCAACTGGTATGGTAGAGTGGCAGACTGCGGCGCGTATGGTATACAAAGATTAGGACGTAGACCGAGCTGATAAGGAGGTGCCGAGTCCCAGTCTCCAGCAGTAAACAATCCCATGGTAGCCATGGTTCGCTTCTGCTGTCTTTCATACCAACGGCCATGTTCTGTATGCCCTGAGGATAGTGTGATAACGACCTGGGGTGAGTGGATCTCGATATTCTGGAGGCCGACAAGATCGGACTTCTCGGTCAATCTTGTCAGTAGTAGGTTAAAGTTGGGGTCAAGGCAACGACGCCGCTACGTTCCGTTCGCGCTGTCAAAGGCTCAATTTTTAGATCGTAGTTTTGAATGAAGGCCAACTCTGAGGGCAGGCTGTCAAGTAATATTTATCCAACTTGAAATTGATTCAATCAGTTCCTACGTGCCGGATGGCCAAAAGAAGACGAGAGTCAAGAACCCCACCGTACTTTAGACTAATTGTACATGTGCGACTCCACATATCCAAACGCCCATTAGGATGGCATTATGAGGAAAAGCATTCTGATACAGATCGGTCAAAACCTGCCAAACTGGTTACTATCAGACACAGTTAGCTAAGAAGCTAAGAAAGCCTTACTGACCGATCAAGTCTATGCAGTACAGAGATCTTGCCATTAGCCAACCGTTTTATCATCGCAGTAATCTTGGTTGTGATCAATAACTTTTAACTACGAATGAGTAGACGAGAGTGTTTAACTCCCTCAGGACTGTCCTTGTTTGAGCCTTTATTATGTGCCCAAGCTGTTAGATTACGGTTCAACGGAATAGATCGTGATAATGGCTAGATGAATTGATCAAAGACATTATAGTTTCCTGTAACTATGAGCTATATGGTTTTGATACGGGACCAATAATGGTCGGGCTTGTAGGAATCAACTGTGATAAAGTAAAAAAAAAAAGCCATAGCCTGCAACGCTTTGGAAGCCATATTTTGTTAGTTTTTTTCTTTTTTTTTCTCCCTCACAGGGCCTAATACTCACATAGCCTTCACTTTAGGACATAATTCTTAAAGTAC